TCTTGCGTTACGTAGACGGGGGATCTGGGTGACATCTACCAAGTCAATGCTTGGATCTTGTAGAGCATGATGACTCTTGCCATGTCCCGTCTCTTCTGTAGAGTGGTCCAGTGTAGTGAGCTTACCATCTCTGTGACGCTGCTCTGGCGTGAGTAGTCATTCTTAACAAATCATGCTGCTCTTCTTTGGACCATTTCTAGTTGGTTGATGTGGATGTCAGCAGCAGGTGACCATACAGAGGAGGCATACTCAACGCTTAGCCGTACATAGGTGTTGTAGGCTTTGGCGGCGCAGGAAAGCTAGGACTGAGTTGGCTTTTTTCGTTATGTTGTCGATGTGGCATTTCCAAGATGGGTCTGGTGTGATGGTCACTCCAAGATACTTGGCCTGGTTGATTACGTTGAGGGTTGTCTGGTGCATTTGATATGGGAAGGCGATGGGGTTCCTCTTGGTGGTAATTCGGATGACCTCACATTTGCAGCCAGCATTGAACTCATTTTGCCATTCCTTCTCCCAGACTTGGAGGCTGTCAAGGTCATCTTGTAGGGCACGGGCATCATCCTGGCTCTTGATCGTCCTGTCGAGGAGACATTCATCAGCAAACATGTCAGTCCTCGACTTCACTCAGACGGTAGGTCGTTGATGAAAGCCAGGAAGAGCAGTGGACCCAAGACGCTGCCCTTGGGCACTCCAGAGGTGACAGGGGATGTATGGGAGTGTGAGCCTTCTAGGACCACGCGTTGTTTTCTGCTAAAGAGGAATCCTTGAACCCATTTCAGTGTGTTGCCTCTGACCCCATAATTGTCTAGCTTCATCAGCAGTCGTGTGTGTGAGACCTTGTCGAATGCTTTGCTGAAATCACGCAGGATAGCGTCGATTTGCTCATTCTTGTCAAGTCCTTTGACAAGGTTTTTAACAGTGGTGAGAAGCCATGCTGGGAGTCAGACAGTATATTGTTGTTGTCAAAATGAGACATGATGTTGCTCAAACTGATATGTTCGAGGATCTTACAAGAGATTGATGTTTGATAGGTCTGTAGTTGGATGACGTAAAAGTTTGAAGAGGTAAAAAGGATTTTCATGTTTAAAAATTTGGCTGAATGGCACATCACCTAGGGTTTAGGTAACTGCCACAATCAGTTTTACGGTTGAGATAAGTGCCTCAATCAGTTTTCAAATGAGAGCCTATTAAACATATACCAGTATTTTCATTATCTATATGTCATAGTCATTTTTCAAAACAATAAAAAGGACAAGATAAGCATTACTTTAGCAATGTGGTGTATTTAGGAAACAATTTTTTGTCAACAAATGACTACATAACAAGAAACAAAATAAACACAAAAAACACCCCCTCCCCCCCCCCCAAAAAAAAAAAAAAAAAAAAAAAAAAAACACTTTTGACGTGAGGCAATATCACTTTTGACATTTTGACAATAGACAGAAACTCTTCTGCCAAGAAGCGATGATACTTTTATAAAGAGACAAACACTTTAGGCAATAGGACTAAATGCAATAAATAACATTTCTGACAGAAGTCAATAAACATTCTGACGAGAGGCGAGAACACTTCTGACCAAACGTTCTTATATTTCATTTAACTGTATTTATTTTGATATCTTTATCATATTTTATCTTAAGGTAACATTATGCTCATATGTTCATATTCAAGTTGAGCTGAACTGACTATATATTTCAAAATAATGACTGTTAAAATGGTGATTGACAACCAGTTCATATTGGAAAATGTTTTGGATAAAATTAAAAATCTGCCTAAAATATAAAAAGACTGTCCCACTCTTTTTATGAACTGAACGTTACAGGTAAATTCTATTATATTTAAGAAAAAATCGTTTGAATCCATGCGTTGTTTATTGTCAATGTGAAATAATTGTTTTTATTAAAAGGAATTATAGCAAAATGAAAACTTATTTTCACTTTCACCTGTTCACTCATTTATACACTTGGATGGGCATAATGTCACTTTAATACATTACCTCTCCTTGAAATTACATATATCTTAATTACCTTTAGCCATGTAAATGGAACACATTTCAAAACGACTCCATACGGGAATTTCCCGGTTGGAATATACTAACATACTGTACTTATATTTGTTGTACTTGAATTTCATATCTTATATAATTCGATAGTACCACGCTTTTACAGAAAAAAAAGTTTTCAATGAATACAACAAAGGATCTTTAATTTCTTCTACTTGATTTTTGCGACTTCGTTAATCTATTGTATTTCTGCAGTTCTAAAAAATACATTAGATATAATATATTGTCATGTTTGTTGACTTTCATTTAATAATGCGTATATTTCCGGTTTCAATCTGGAGACAAATATGTTTTATTTTCATCGTCATGTGATATACGTATACACGTTATAAAAATATGCAGTGACAGATACACTAAAAACGAAATAAAAATATGTCGGTGTTTTTTTTTTATTATAATCTTATTAATTCCATAAATATCCCAATGTACCATACCTCCAGAGTCATGCTTATTTTTATGGAAAAAATGTAATAAAAAGTAAAATATTGTCAAGTGAACAAGGAATAGTCATAACAGCGTTTTTTTCTTGCAAAAAATATTATTATAATTACTGCAAAATCAGTCGTTAATCGCATATGACATGTAAACCAGGTCTTGAATTGCGAATATTTTTACTTTTCTTTAAATATTTTTATTATTTTCTCAATGTTTTCTTGAAATATTTTGGCTCATCTGGAGGCGTACATGCACGAACAACACGAGAAAATCTTTTTTGTTAAAGTCATCAAGGGTTTATCAGTGATAAACTTGTTTCAATACCCCTTGTATATTCTATCAATCTCCAGCCAAAAATTTAACGTATATGATAATACGATAAAATATATTACTAGTAATACTGATAATTGTAGTGGTAGATGCATTTTGTATTAAAAAAGACAAAATGGTCTACTAGTACATTACATGACAAACAGTGCCTGAATGACTTTCCCGTTCGAATACTTACATAATTTAAATAGTTTGGTAAATTATTGCTTTTAAATGTAATTTACTACACAGGAAAATTAAAAGGCAACATTATATGTATTATAATAGTAATTTAATATAACTTAATGTCGACGAATACACAAATTCAGCTATAACATTACTGTATTTAATACAAGCATAATAAATATTATGTAAATGAATGAATGCGAAACGCGGATTATATTATATATTATAACGATTTCATGGACTTTGTACATAGATTTTGTGAAAACTATAACCTTTACACGGAGACTAAGTACGTTTGTGTTTTATAGTGTATAAGTAAACAGGATGGAGAAAATTTTTTTTGTCTTTGTAGTTGTTTTTTCTGTCTGTTTTGCCTGGTTTCTACACACAATATGGGATCAATTAGTTGATCTTCAAAAGGAAAACGTAAGGCTTTCAGAGAGATTAAGTGAATTGGAACAATCTTCTACTAAAAAATTAGCGGTGTCTACCCACGTCGGGCTATCGGGCTCGCTTCCTGTAGCCGGCACAGCTAAAGTCATGTATGATGTTGAAATTACCAACATTGGCAATGCTTTTAATTTCCAGACTGGAAAATTTATCGCCCCTGTTTCTGGGGTTTACATGTTTCACGTTACCGCATGCTTAGGTGATGGCGGACAATGGATGATTCTGAATATAATGGGCAATGATAATGTGATTGGACGTGTGTTTACTGGTGACAACTCATATCATGCCTGTGGTTCGAAGGCAATAAGTGTTCATTTGAAAACAAGTGATTCCGTGTGGGTACAGCGGGCAGCTGGTTCAGCTGTTTTTTTAAACCAGGACCATGGTTGGAATTCTTTTACAGCTGTACTTTTAGATAAAGATTAATTTCATATTTATTTATTAATTATATAAATACACAAATACTCTATATTCACCTCTTACAATCAATAGTGATGTTTCGATGTAGACACATGTCATATGATTGTAGTTGAAATTATATATTATTTATTCCTGTGGACATAAGATATAAGTTACAGGACAGTGCACTCGACTAGGCCTATTCTCATTGACTCAGAGACATACAGTTATGATTTTCTTACTGCGCAGAGATGAAAACATTGTAATGAAATAAAATTTCATTTTAGTAATGGACAGTGTCATTTAATAATGGCAATGAAGACATGTTTAATGTATAAAGTATACTATACTTGTTTTAATGGTTGTGTTACAAAACCTTATTCAGAAATATTTTAAGTTCACCAAGGGGGATAATTGAGTAACAATATATGCTATAATTATGTGTCTTGGATAATGACATACAATATGTACGGTGCACTTCAAGTGAATATCTCTTAAGTGGTTGGGGACAAAAGTTTCGCACTAAACCATAACTTACGTTGACATAGATTCTGGATGATTATAATAAAAAATAAAACAATTCTCATGAGTTTTATATAAAAACTGTCAGGAAGTGCACTATGATGTGTTAAAAGTTTCTGGAGATAATTATCAATAATGTTGCAATGTAGATCAATATTTTATGTATATAACGATGCATGTATATGTTTGTATTGTGTATAACATATTATTAAACAAAGCTGTCAATAGATCAATATCAATGTTTGAATAATTGTGTTTGTTTTTTATCAATTCGGTATAAGAGGGAATTTTAAGACACACTAGGGACAAGAAAATATTTTGAGAGGGAAATGGCAGCCCAAAATAGCTTAATTTAGTAGTTTAACAGCTGCAAATATTACTACTAATATACAGATGGTTTTAAAGCAAAGTATAGCAATGAAAATGAAATGAGTTTTTAGCTCGACTATTCGCAGAATAATCGAGCTAATGCAGTCACCCATTTGTCGGCGTCGGCGGCCCTGTGGTTAAGTGTTTGCGTGTAAGCTGGTATCTCCATAACTACTGAAGGGAATGGATTGAAACTTCACACACTTGTTCTCTGTGATCATGTTACATGATTGGCACAAGTCCCGTATCTCTGATTTGCTTTTTTGCATAATTATGCCCCTTTTTCGACTTAGAAATTCTTGGTTAAGTTTTTGCGTGCAAGCTGGTATCTCCATTACTACTTAAAGGAATGGATTGAAACTTCACATACTTGTTTTCTGTGATATCTAACATGATTGGCACAAGTCCCATAACTCGGATTTGCTTTTTTGGCATAATTATGCCCCTTTTTCGACTTAGAAATTCTTGGTTAAGTTTTTGCCTGCAAGCTGGTATCTCCAATACTACTGAAGGGAATGGATTGAAACTTCACACACTTGTTTTCTGTGATTATCAAACATGATTGGCACAATTCCGATAACTCTGATTTGCTTTTTTGCATAATTACATGAATTATGGCCCTTTTTATGACTTAGAAATTCTTGGTGAAATTTTTTTCGTGCAAGCTGGTATCACATGATAACTACTGAAAGGAATGGATTGAAACTTCACACATTTGTTTTCTGTGATTATGTAACACGATTGGCATAAGTCCCATAACTCTGATTTTCTTTTTTGCATAATTATGCCCCTTTTTCGACTTAGACATTCTTGGTTATGTTTTTGCGTGCAAGCTGTTATCTCCAAAAATACTAAAGGGAATGGATTGAAATTTCACACACTTGTTCTCTGTGATATCTTACATGATTGGCACAAGTCCAATAATTTTGATTTTTTTTTTCATAATCATGCACCTTTTTAGGCTTAGAAATTCTTGGTAAAGTTTTTGCTTGTAAGCTGTATCTTCATAACTACTGAAGGGTTTGTGCTTTTTTTTGGAACAATTTTATGCATTCATAATAATAAAGCAGTGATTCACTCGATAAAACATCTTAATAACAAGCCTTTGTACTTTTTGAGACAATTTTATGTATTGATATAGGTAAGCATTATTATACTCAATGAAACACACTTGTGACAACTTTTCGAATAGTCGAGCGTTACTGTCCTCCGACAGTTCTTGTTTGTTGTTGTTGTTTTATTGAAATTCCTTTGTAAAACAAGCAATTATCATAGTATTGCAAGCAATCCATAAGTCCCCTACCGGTTAGAACCCCAGCAACATTCTGATGGGCCATTGGCCATTCAATTTTACCAGTGAATGAATGACATGAATGAACTTAAGTTTTTTGAGTTCTAAGTTTGTCTATATCACAGTAATGTGTAAAGTTTCCCTGCCTAGTAAGGAAATTATGTTTATACAACCTTGTCATATTATTACTATGTGGGATTTTAAAGTAAATCCTATAAGGAATGAAGAAGTTGGAGTGAAAAATACCAATTTCACGAAAAAAATCTAAGTTCAAGGGGGACATAATTCTGGAAATAGTCTTGCTAGAGTATTTAACCTTCTCAAAAATGTTGAGTGATAATAACAAACCTATATATGAAGTTGGAAGTAGATACATTAGGAAATAAAGAAGTTATTTAAAAAAGACAACATTTTTTTTTTTTAAATTCTAAGTTCAAGGGAGGTAATACTGATACTTTTTGTGCTAGAGTTGTAAATCTTGTCACATATGATGTGGTTGATGACCAGAAACTTATATTTAAAGTTTGATGTAAACACCTTAAGAAATAAAGAACTTATAGTGAAAAAGCTGAAAAATTTAAATCAGAAAACATGAAATTCAGGCTATTTGTTGCCATAGCAACCAGAATTTTCAACATAGGAAGAAAAGAAAAAGATGTGCATAATCTCCAGACATCTACCCATATTACAAGTTTCATAAAAATATTTTCAGTACTTTTTGAGTTATCACTGGATCCAGTTTATGTGTTAAATTTGCCATATTTTCAGACTATTTGTTGCCATAGCAACCAGAATTTTCAACATAGGAAAGAAAAAAAAGACGTGCATAATCTCCTTACTGCCATCTATCCATATATCAAGTTTCATAAAAATATTTTCAGCACTTTTTGCGTTATCGCGGGATCCAGTTTTGTGGACGGACGGACTGACGGACTGACTGATTGACCGACAAGAGTTGTGACTGACCGTTTCAATTGCAACAATAGCTCAATGCCCTCGTTGTCCAAGTTATTTTGTTTTCCTTTTTGCAAAAAATGTCATTATTTTTTTCCGGAAACTGCAGGAGGCTTTCTTTTAAAATCATTATCTCAAAACATGTTTTGTTTCAAAACATGTTTTGTTAAATGAATACTTGATAAAATAAAAATTTCAAAAGGTAGTAATAACAGACACACAGTATGAAGCGGAAACTACTCGTATTGCAAAATATTTTAACTATGTCATCGAGAATTTTAAGTTCTGAAGGTCATAAACTTTTCATTTCAAGTTACAATGACAGTCAAATCAATACATTTGAAAACCAAATTATAAATTATTTAGGTCAAACATGTATAGGTAGGTGTTAAATAATAAGTATTACCAAAAATAATTGGTCAAGCCTGTCGCAGGCATATCCTAAAAAACAGCGAGGAAAACGATGCAATTAGGTAATCAAAGCACAGAAGGCGCCGAATTTGTTTGGGTCTCAGAATGTCAGAAAGGTGAAGGGAAGGTTGTGAGATTATAAACCAATTTGTTTTTGTATAGGGCCACCAATGCTTTCCAGCGTTTTAATTGTAGTAAATTGGCTATAAGACTAATTGCAACACTGATACTCAATCCAATGTTTATTTGACAATTTGAAAAAAAAAATGAGTTGCCTTAACTGGGATTTGAACTCCAGACCTCTCGCTTCCTAAGCGGGCGCGCAAACCGCTCAGCCACGGTGAATTTATATGACAATGGCCTGAAGAAAACCATATCCGATCATTCTAAATTAGGGTTTGTAACGACGCTAACTGTTGTTTAACACAGATGTAAATAATCATGGAGCTTACTTTAAGCATGTATATCTATAAAGAATAAAACAATATTAGAAATCTTCGACCATTCGGGAATTATTTTGCTTGAAAATTAATGCGTCTGTCATTTGACCATCTTTACGCAGTGATCTCCCCTAAATTTTTCGGCGTTAGTGTACATATAAAGGGAATTAACCGCTTCAAAAAAGCGGACTACTTTCGGCATTTGCAATTAACAGCATTAGAGTCTGAAATTTCGCTACCATTATTTGTTTGGTCTGACGACCCAAACAAATAAAAAAAAAAACAATGGAGTTAATGAAATGAGTACATTCTTTAAAAATAAATGGAAAATGTGAGAAAAATACATTAGAGATTATTAATTGATACAAATTCGTTATTAGCTTCAAGTTATTCACTAACATTTAAAATCCCTATTGATTTGCTCATTTGAAAAACAGTTCTTTTTTTTTATTATTTTTCTGTGTGTCAATTTAGGTTTACAGGTGGAGGGGGTCCATTTTCAATGAGTTTTCCAGCCAAAAATGTAATCATTGTATTCTAAATATCAAGGATTGTTAATGTAGTTCATTCCTATCAAGTGAAAGAAAATAATGTTTTGGTTACTTTTTCTAGAAAAAGAGTCAGCAATTTATAACAGACATTTTTCTTAGAGTTAAAAGGATATAAAAAAGTTACTATGTAATCATTTGTAGTAAATTAATTGATTGTATCCTCACATTTAGAAACACCTGACCTCGCCTATTTTTTTTTACGTTGGGCATTGTTTTGCTTACCTAGATATTTTACAATTCAGAGTGCAAACCACACCTCTAACTCCTCCCTAAAAATGCATTATTGAAATTTGTTAGACTGGTTAGACGACAAATTAAGTAAATTTTTATTTAGTTAGTACACATTAACCAAAGTTAAACTTAGCAGGAATTCGAAAAATACTACAATGTGATTGGACAAAAAATTATGTTGATCATTAAGGGGTTTTAGTGATCAGAAAAATAAGAAAAAGTTCATAGATTAATAAAAATGTAAAACGCTCAGTAGCAATGCTGCGTTTGAGGGATCGAAAGTTTAGATTACACAAATAATTGTAAAATGTTGTTTGAAATTACACATAAAAGCACGCACTTGTAAATCGTTGTTAGCGACAGTAATTTATTCACCTAATAATAATGCTGATAAAGATTTTAATGCATTCCTAAACCTTCTACAGTTACAAAATAAATGTATAGTTATTTCCGGAATGTTGTGTTTTTGTCTGACAACAATATGCTACAAAACAAAACTTCCCTCTCCTAATAAGTTAAGAAACGCTGAAGCACTTATTTTTAGATCAAATGTTTTTAAATTTAGTATATAGCAGCTTTGTTTGTAATTTACACCTTTTCTCCAGACTCATTTTCCGCGTTTGCGTGCTTGTGTGGGTGGATAAGTTGTAGTTGATGTTCTATTTTTGTTGTCGGGGCTGAGGGGGGCTTATACTCTTATTGTGCACATTAATGTACCTTTGTGTAAGGTATGTGACCTGTCAATATGTACAGTATTTTTTTTAATTTTCATTTCATATTCTCTTTCATATTCTCATAGGGCAATAAAAAAACAAGAGGAGCATGTCTTTAGCAATGTGTGTATTTATAAAACAAGCATAAAATCAACAAATGACTAGATAAGATGCACAAAATATAACGGTGTTAATGTAAAATTAACAAATCATGACAATATATTGATATTTATATGACAATAGATTGATTTTAGATACAGAACAAACAATTGTAAGCTACAAGACAAACGGCATTCAAAATAGTAAGTATGGGGTCATTGGCCACAAAGCATTCAGCCCAGAACAGAATGGTGTAGGAGAGAAATGCTGTAATTAAAGTTAACAGGATATACTGCCCTGGGAATAAAGCTCACAAAATGTGATCATGTATCACAAATATAACAGCAAAGAATAGCTAGATTGTTCACAGTTCTAGTGTAGGCCAAAGCATTCTAAAGTTTATTAGTTAAACAATAATAGTGATGTTGATCTACTGATCACAAAGTCAACAGGGGTCATCTGCTAGTCATGACTAACCTCAAAAACAAAACTTTGGACTGAAAGCCAAACCTTTTTCATGTGATTGGTATGACAATTATTTTATGGTCAAGCTTTATAGTGATTTTGACCTTGATCTTTGATGTCGGACCTAAAAACAGATTGGGGTGATCTACTGGTCATGACAAACATTATGAATATAGGCCAAAGCATTCTCAACAAACTGAATGTAATGACCATGGGCTAAATTATTCTGTTGCTATTATTGGTTGGCTTTTAGTACAAACCCACTTTGAAGTTTGACTGACTGGCATCAAAGTTGATTATGTACTAGTTTGTCAAGAGTGAAGACAAGCGTGTACAACAAATCTTAAATCTGTAAGCCAAAGCATTTTCTAGTTACTGGTCAGACAAGCTATAATTCAATGCAATTTTGACCTTGACCTTAGGGCAACTGACTGTAAAATCAATAGTGGTCCTCTCAATATCATGATCAAACTTTGCACTAAATCTTGGACTCTTGGCAGAAACATTGTCTCAGTACTGGTTGGACAAGCTTTTAATGGTCAAGGCAAATGTGACCTTGACCAACTTACCTCAAAACCAATATGGGTCATCAACTGACCATTTTAAATACAACTCTAAAGAATGTAGGCCAATCGTTTTCTCAAAATACACTGGAAAAGTTTTTAATGGTCAATGCAACAGTGACCTAAACTTTTGACCTTTTTGAAATTTGATTTTCTAAACCTGTTTTTGGCCCTGTGACATACTTAAGTAACCAACCCAAACCATTCCAATAACTTTGATAGGGGATCGCCCAAGGTCAAAATCCAATCATCAGCATTAAAAAAGATGATGTTAAAATAATTATTGAAATGCATACATCATGATCACAAAACATATGCACATTGTGGTGAAAAAATACAGGAAAAAATTGCATGAATAAATTTTTTTAAAGATTTATAATTATTTTTTATTACTAAAAATAAATTGAAATTGACCCTTTTCCTAACTTGGAAGTCTCATGCTCAGGATGTACAAACCCAAAAACAAAGTATCGGCAATACATTGACATATATCAAACTACATAGCTGGTACTGTGAAATAATTCAAATACATGTTATAAACTTTAATCATGTATTATACATGCTTATTTAATCATCAAAAATATATCAATAGCCAAGAAAAGGGTGAGAAGTGACTTCTCACTTCCAACAAGATAGATGTTTCAACAAGACAGGGAGAAAAAGGGTTTTCATTTTGTATCAATATTCTGAATTGTAAAAATCAAAGCAAATGTTGAATATATCAATGATACAATGTATATCATTATCAAGACATTAGCCCTATACAGTATACCGGTATATAAATTTCTAATGATACAGACAGGCACCAACAAGTTTGTCATTTCATGTCTTTATAAACCCTCTACTTACCTAGATATAACTTAAGATTCTGTGTTAGCCAACTTGATGACTAACTAGATAGAGTATGACCCTTCTGGGACTTAAAAACAAAGATACTCAAAGGCCAGTGATATGTACTGTATTTATCAAATAGTTTTCAAGATCATGTTACAACTTAAAAAGATCAGTTACTACATGCATCTAAAACATAAACATTTCAAGACCCTGTATGTTGTAATTCTTGATGTAACAACACTTGCTGAAAATTTATAAATGTATATAATTATTCTTCTAAAACAATTTCCAAACATCCAAATTTATGTTTCATATGTACTGCAAATTTTTATACGCATTATAATTAATCATTAAAATATATGCATTCATTTCTTATTGAAAAATTTGGCTTAGACTTTATCGAAAACAAATTTCTACTTACCTCCCTTTATCTACATGAAATGTTAATTCGGTAATATCTTTACAAATAATGTATTTTGGCACTTACAATATTGATAAATAATCATTTGAGCATCGTATTTATGATATAAAACCATGAAAAAAATTGAGTTACAGGACCTTTAAATTTATGTCTCTATGGAACCTACTTCAATGAAGAAAATATCATTGGTTGCTATTAAAGTTTTACATATTTTAGTACAATAGAACTGGGTTTTGTATGTGTCATAAACCGTAAAATATAAATGAATGATTAATTTTGCCTTTTTGATTAAAAACAATATTATGCATGAATTTGATGAAAAATGTTTTATGGAAATGGTGCTAACAATTTGCCCTGTATTTACAACACCCATTTTCCTGTTTCAATGTCCATGTGTTTCAGTTTTTAAATCACATAGAAACTGTTCAAGTCACACTGAGACTATCCAACTTTAATGGTGGAGAAAGACCTTCTTTACCATTTTTTAAAAATCTAAACACAAACAGACACCTTGTGGGATCACTAGCATTCCATTAAGTAGCTTCAATACTAACCTACATCCCTGGACTAAGCTTCCTACTACATGTGAATATATAAAGACACACTATATAAAATATACTATATTATAACTCTTAACATGGTTTTCAAATAAAAAGAGTCTACCTAAGACATAAAATTCTTTCATTGCCTAATATTCTAATCCACATAAATCAATGTTTGGAAACACTAGTGAGTATTGTATCTAAAACATTCTAAACTTTTTGCTGCTCATATTGTGTAAAGGACTTGCCAAGCTTTACCATTGAGCTTGTTTATTGTAAATGAAAGGTACATTTACTGAATGTTAATATGCAGCAGCAAACAGTATAAAATCTGGTAAACTTGTTGAAAGAGCAAGCTGTCCAGGTAAAATAAAAACAGAAACATGGCAATGCAAAGAGACCAGGTATTCAACAAGAGCCATCACAAGCAGGGGCCATGTTCTCCACCTTTTTTTAGCTCACTTAAACACAGTTGAGCTTTTGTAATGGCAGACAATATGTCATCCAATGGTAATAAGGTTTCTAAGGGAAAATTTAAATTTGAATTAGATCAAAGACAACTGAAGAAAAAGCTCACAGAACTGAAAGCCTAAAGAAAAGGAGGGAAAATTTGAAACTAAAATGGAACATGCTAAATTGAAAAAGAAACTTACTGAACTTGAAACACAGATGGCAAAAGAAAAGGAGGGACAATTTGAGCTTAAAAGGAACACACAAAACTGGAAAAGAATACGAAGTCCCTGATGGGACTCAAATCCACAGCGAAGAGGGACTACATATACATAGTGAGGGTGTATCTTTAAGGGGTACAAAAAGAAAATGTCTATGAGATAAAAAAGTGAGTGTGTGCTCACATGGTGGAAGAAGGGAAATATGTATTAGAAAACAACATTGTATTTGTGTAGGAAAAACTGTCTATGAAATAAAGAAATTGAGATAATAATGAAGAATTGTAGGTGTTTTTGAAAAATAGGAATAGAAGCAGGGAATATCATATGCCTTTGTAATGGAGATACAATGTCTCACGAATAAAATGGTGTGTTGGTTTCAGGATTAGGCATTTAATAAATTAAATAAAGTCGACTAAATTTCATGTTCATATGAGAGAATGTACTACCAGTAAATCTAGTATATCTAAGTGATAGGGGAGTGAATGTACAAAGAAGTGATGTAATGAAGAATAAGAAATGAATTCATTAATAAAATATGACAAAATAAGGATTCCTAGAAGTATATGGAAAGATTTCATTTCTTTGTTTGTGACGAATTTAAGTTTCAAGTGTGAATAAATGAGGAATTTATATAATATTGATAAAATATAGAGGAATTTAGTAAATATTTAAGATGTCCAATGGGAGATATTTAAGTTTTATGGATGTATAGGACTGTAAAGTGATAAAATAAATATGTCTAGGAATAGTTTATGCCTTTGAGATGAATATGACTTGGTGAGAAATTACGGCTTATATAATGAATAAAAAAGGAATTTAAATATTACAGTAAATAAGAGAGGATTCAAAGTATTTGTGATGAGTATTACAAGTAAGGAACTGGTCAGCAAGATGTATCATAGAGGAATTAGAGACTTGTTGATGAATACAGTATAGACATGAAGACTCACCATTCTCTACTGCTGGCTTAGGCCTGTCTGTATCATAATCAAATCACTAAAAGGATTATTATCACTAACACTATTTTTTTAAACAATTTTAGAAAATATTTACAATAAAACAATTCAGATTCTATAGAGTGCTCACTAAGGCTCAACTAAAATACTTTTTAAATGACATACAAACTAACAATGTATTTATAATAGCCAATCCTACCTGTGCTCTTTTGAAAAGCTTACTTTCAATTCAACAAAAAAGTTTAACATAGTTAATGTGAGAAAATTGAATTTACATGTAAATACACTGACATAAATCTAAGTTATTTATAACCTTCCCTCCTCACCTATATAATTATAGTGTTAAAATATTATAATAAAAGCCTTGTCTAGTAATGAAGGTGCACTCTACAATCTGAAAGTTCAATGGAACACTGTCATAGCTCTAACACTTTAAGAGTGACTTTTATTAGACTACTTTTGGTTTGACGTTAGTTTAGTTTGACCTTCAACATACTGTTTATAAGCTTGACCTTCAACCTGTAGTTTTTAGTGTGTTTTAACCAGTTGTTTAGTTTGACCTTTAACCTGCTATTTAGTTTGACCTTCAACTTGCAGTTTGTTATTGTGTTTGCAAATTGCAGTTTACTTTGACCTTTAACATGCAGTTTAGTTTGACCTTTAACCTGCTGTTAAGTTTGACTTTCAACTAGCAGTTTTTTATTGTATTTTTAACCTGAAGTTTAGTTTGACCTTTAACCTGTAGTTTAGTTTAAACTTTAACTTGTAGTTTTCTATTGTGTTTTCAACCTGCAGTGTAGTTTGACCTTTAACCTGCTGTTTAATTTGACTGCACAGATGTGAGGGCTGACCTGGTTTCATGGTGATGGCAAAGGGCTGATATACTGCTGCAGGTGAAAAGTTGTACAAATTCAAAAATACTCTTGTTTACAAAAAAGTTCTTTCAATTCATATTTGAAAACAACACATTAAAGTCATTCAGTCCCCAATGTCTTATTTAAGGGTGTGACCTCAAAATCCCTAGGTTCAATTGGAAACCCCTTAATCACTTTGTCATTGTTTCAAAATCCATAGGCCAAATTATAACTATGTTGCTAAGAACTATTTAAGTGTTTATAATGAAATATAGCATAATATATTCTAGTTTAATATAATTTTTATACATTTATCAGTGAAGCAAACAATAGGCATGTAAATATCATTCATAAACACAACATGTACACACATTGAGGCCAATTTATAAATATCACATTATTTTCAGCACTATACACAATATTATAAAAAGACAAGTAAAACATTGGAGTATACAACAAAATATTCAACAAAGGTGTCTTTTGTTTTAAATGTTCTGGGTGAAAATTCTTCTTTTTTAACATCACAACCTATGATAAAAGCTATCTATCTATAAACAACATCAACCTCACATTAATTGTTACATTGCCCTCCTTATACATCCTTATCCTGTAACACTTGCATTACAGACATACAAAAATTGTGCCGGTACAGTTGAAAAGAAAACTGTTTTTTTTTAAATTTAACCCAAGTTGAGCTTAAAATGTGTGTATAATTAAAAATATATACATGTATTGGCAAAGTTAATGGTCTACTAAAAGCTTCTACAAAATTTACAATCTGTGACAAAATATTGTTTTTCAGTTAACTTTTTTACCCACAGTCAAGCTCAGTTTAACAATGAAGATAGTGCAGTATAAAAGCTTTAAAATTTTGTTCTTATTATTTTTCACCAGCAGTATAAAAACTTGAGCACAAAATTGTCTAAAAGCATTTTTGATGAAAAACCTACAGATGAATACAACCACAAGTTGATCTAATGATCTGTATACATTACATGAAACAAACAAATTAAGTGATTTACTTTACCCTAAGAAAATGACCCTCCTTCACAAAAAACTGTGATACAGTACTGAACACGCGAAACCCACAAAGGTTGCTGTATGCCGCGAGTGCATTCCATGAAGCGACGGGACACGCTGCGGTAAATTAGCGCCGCATGCAAGTTCGCAAAACCATATCAGAATCCACGTCAAGTCGAAGAACATATATCATAGAACATATGAATATTAATCTTTTGTTACTGTATATGTATAATGTATATATTTTGTAATTGAAAACAAAGCAATTGGAAGCTGGGTGAAAGAACATGTATCAGGAAATAAGTCTGACTTAATAGAGCGGGTGATGAAAATTGGGAATGCTTTTAATCGAACATTAATGTGAATCGAACATTCAGGTCACTCAAAAAAAGAGAATGTGAGCCATTGAACACCCCTTTAGGAGAAACCCTTGTGCATCCATCCTATTTAGATTGCTGGAGTAACGATTTGCCCAAAATTCCATATCTTTATGAAAAGGACATTAAATTTTATAACTATTTTGTATATTGTAAATTAAACACCAAACGTCAGTTAAAGTCGAATGTCAAGTATGAGGACAGACATGTATACAATGTACAGGTAAAGGTTTTCATTGCACTACTGTAAAGAATATACAGTCATAATTCATATGTAAACTGTATAATTCATAATTCATATAATACAAAGCAAAAGTATTGAAGACTGTGCCACACAGTAAACAACAAGAAAGGTGAACTACCAGAAACACCAAGAATGGGCTTTGCCATGTCCTAACACACATCAATGATGGAGATTTTGAAGACCATGAAGGGTGCCATAGATAGGGTATGCAGCAGTCAACAGTTGGCTAACAAAAGGTATAATGAACTAGTCAACAAAATTAACAACATTGAGTCGAAGGTTGATACACTGATGGTCCAACAGTCTCAGTAGATGCCCGTATTACCCAATTTTTCACCCAAGGTAGAGCCACCTGTGAGTTGTCTTTCAGACAAAGTTACAAGGCAGCTTCAAAGGGAAGCTAGCTCGCCAGGACATTTTGCCGCCCTTATACTGCCAAATATTCTTCCAGAGATATTTGGACCTACCAATAAAGGCTTCTTGTTCAACTGGAACGGTACAGGGGGAAAACAGAAGAGATGTCTCCAAAAGAAAGAGATGATACATAAGATTGTGATCTCTAGTTTCAAGAATCCAGGAACCAGGCCCTGTGGAATGCTGTGGTTCTACGCATCAACAAGAGATTGAGGAGAGTAGTAAAGAGTAAAGGTAAGGAGAACAGAGCAGTGCCCCGAGTGGAGTCAGTGTTAACAGAAAATGGACTAACTTACACTCAACTGTAAAGTCAATAAGTGTATAAACAAAGACAACTTCTTATTATGCTCATTGAAAGCTTGTGTTTGCAAACAGTGAATAAACAAGGGGCTAATGAAAATTTTGTGGCCTTTTCAAACATCTCTTGAATGTCAACATGTATTGTAATGAAATTTTATCAGCATCCCTTGTAGAATATTATCAACACATTTTGAAAAGAACAGTTAACTATGTTTATAAATAATGATTTAACATTGCTTTTAAATAAGCATATACACAGCATCTTGTACATGGTAGAAAAGCGCAGTTAGTCATCATAATTTATATTTTTTGCTAAAAAACTAATAACTAATGTAGAAAACCTGCTAAACATGTTTCTTCCATGATGTCATTTAAGTAATTTTTATAAATTGTGGACGGCATTCCCGTTAATTTTTGTTGATATTGTTAGAAACACCAGATGCCGATATTGTTTACATTGGTAAAAATTATGGACACGCAGAAATAATAAAATTGCATGATCATAAAGTTTTGTTGTAATTGGAAATGACATCTTCTAAAACATTTGAATGCCAAAACATGCCTTGATACAGATAGGCGTCAAACCATAGAAGAAATTATGGAGGCCGGGTCGTCTGATCAACACATTTCTACTACATCATGATAATGCACCAGCACATACAGCCTTGGATACCAAATTTGAGTTGTAACTGATGGATCTTGAGTGAGTGCCACATCCCAACGGACCTAGCCCCGATGGCTTTGCAGTCTTTCCAGAGGTAACATTGACATTTAATTTGAAATATTTAACAAAAATCAGACAACTTCTACTCTGTTTTAAGTTAATAATACAAGACTGAAACAAATAACAAATAAATTACAAACAACAGTTTTGTTTACATTTAAATGGTAGTTGTTTTCGTAACAAGTTAATTACAGGTCAACTGCAGGGTCGCCAATTCCAGATATTGCCGATCAACTGCCAAATAAAAATAGATTTTAAAATGAATTAATGTCAATGAAATGTAGACTTCAAGGTTTTACACTATTTATAACTGCTGACAGTGTTGTTAAGTGAAGTCATGTCTCTTAAATGTAAAAGAGCATCTTATGATGTCAAATTTAAATTGACTGTAATTGAGTTTGCAAAAAAAAAATTAATTGTGCAAGAGAGAGAAAGTTTGGAATAACAGAAAAAATGATGTGTGATTGGAGATCAAAGGAACACATCATCCAAGTCTGTGAAGAAGCTAAGAACCGTTATCTCACCTTACAATGAACTAGAAAATAAGTTAAAACATTGGATCATTGAACTCAGAGAAAATGGATATATATAGTGACATGTGCCACATTTCATCTTAGAACACTTCAACTCTCTGAGGAATTTGGTTATTCTGACTTTAAGGCATCAAAAGGGCAGTGTACCCGTTTCCACAATAGTCATGGACTGACATTAAGGCAACATACTCACATTGCGCAGAAACTGCCTAGTGATGTCGATGATAAAGTGACTTCTTTTCAGAAATTTATCATTGATCTATGAAAAAGCAACAAATTTGAGCTACTAGGGTGTATTGGTAATATAGACAGACACCAATGCTTTTTTTACATGCCTGGAAATCGGACAGTTGATTTTAAGTGGGCAAGATCAGTGTCTATGAAGACAACAGGGGCCGAAAAATCTCATTTTATGGTAGTACTATCCTGTTTAGGAGACGGTACCAAACTAAAGCCTGCTATTGTGTTCAAATGGAAACTATGCCAAAAGAACAGTTATCAAAGGATATTGTAGTGTATGTTCAAGAAAAAGGATGTGTTTATGAAAATGTCTTAATGAAATGGCTGAACGATGTATGGTTTGATCAACCTGGTGCTCTTCTTAATAAAAAGTTGTTACTTATTTGGGATATGTCCCATACTCATTTGTTGGAAAGTGTAAAAAACAATCTGAAACAAAAAAGGACTAATCAAGCTATTATTCCAGGTTGATGTATTTCTATACTTCAGCCCATGGATGTGTGTTTAACAACCCTTTAAGGCAAACATGAGAGAAAAGTGGAAAAAGTGGATGATTGAAGGACAAAAACAGCTGACAAAAGCAGGCAATTTGAAACGACCTGAGATATCAACAGTATGCCAGTGGGTGATTGACTCATGGGGTGAAATACCAAAAGAAATGGTTATGTACGGTGTTCCCTTAGGGCCAGCGCAGTTTCGCCCTGTAGCCCTAAGGGCGAAATCGTGAAAACACAATACCTTGACACCAAAACGTCAAAAGCAAAAAACACGATAAGAGATCGCGAAAAACACAATGCGAAAAATATCGCGTTATCGCTCTATTAATATCGTGTTTTCTCTTTTTAGCCCTCGATCTCCCATCAATATTTTTGGCATCGTGTTCTCATATCCTGTTTTTCGCGTTTTCGCCCTCTCAACCGCAAAGACAAAAGCCCGAAAACACAATGTTTTGATATCACACTTTTGTTTTCAAGTTGGGACATGTGTAAACCACATCAACAAGAGAGATGATAAAAATGATAATAATAATAATAATAATACATCAAGTGTTTTTACAGATATGATTCGTAGTAGTGTTTTTAAAGATCCTTATAGTAAATATGTTTAGGGAATAGATTTTAATCTAGAGTGGTATATTGTGTTTAGGCCACGGTGTGGAGTTTCAGTTGCATGTAGTATTTAATTACAAAGGCGGGAGGCCTGAGTGATTAATTACCAAGCATCTGAATGTCAAACCGTGGTCTAAACACGATCATGGAAGTAAAAGATGTTTTGAATTTCGTGACACGATAGACCATGCAAAAGTGAAATCCATTTCCATTCTAACACAAGTGTTAAAAAAATGAAGAAAAACTTATCGAACTATATTTTTGCGCAGTAACAATCAATCACCATTTCGGCAATATAGCGTCATGCAGCGTGGTATATTGAAGGTAGTGTGGTATGTTGGACTTTTAAAACGCTTAAGGTCAGACTCCACTAATTGCTTTCAGAGCACCGATTGGTTCAAAAAGTTTATGGAAACTAAATAAGTGGAGTCTGACCTAAAAACCATCTTCGTTTATATTGGAGAAAACGCGGTTAGTGTTAGAATTAATTATTTCAGATTCTAACTTTATTTTAACCCACGCTGTGATGCAGAACAATCTACAGAAGAAATTATAAAGAACTTCCAGAACGACGTGTTATGTCCAAATACAAGATCAACCCTTATTGTGTCAAGATTAAATGTTTTGAAAAGTACTTTCAGGCTATAATCAGACCATCATTTTCACCAAGCTCAAAATTGTACATCAAGTTCAGCGGTGAAATAGGACAAGATTATGGGGGTCACAGAAGTGAATTTTTTAGGTATGTGCATTATTTTCATGTGCTTTTATATATGTGTTATACATGTAAATATAATGGAGGAAAAGAAAGTAACCAGAAAAAAATTATACCATCCGAGCAGTTTGAAGAATGAAAAAGATATTTCAGCTGGCAGATCCGGAACATTTGATAGATATATATAGTAATAACGGTCAGGTGACTATGGCGCAATTTTCTGATATTTTACCCATCTTAGCTATTTCACATATGTGAACACATCAAATATAAATGAAGAACATAAGCATTTACATTAATTACAACATTTCTTTGATACAACAACTAATAAATTTATGTACATGTATATCTGTTAAATATGAATGGTTTTAAGTTCATACTTAATTATACATGTATTATTCTCAGTGAGGCACAGCATACTTTCACAGCAAATTTGCAGCGAGTTAAATTTGCAGGAATTGTCTGTTTGCTGCAAATTTGCTCAAGGTACAAAGCATGGGGGTTCCTGCGAGCATGCAAAATGTGTGGGTTTCGCGTGTCCAGTACTGTAAAATGGTTGAGTATATTAAAGCAAACACTTACAAGAAATACACAAATGTTAAATTTAGCAAATTTATATTACGAAAATTATGAACAAAACATTATATATTATTTTATATCAAATTGATAACATTGTTTGAATTTCAGATACTTGTATAAACAAGAGCACTGCATGTGGTGTTAACGCTCTACTGTTAAAATAAACATTTTTGAAAACATTTCTGTGTATAAAAAGGGACATAAATCCAAAAACAATAAGGGGCATAATTCCAAAACATAGCTTTCAGAATTATGCCCCTTATCTTACAACTGCCTCTTGTCATGGTAAGAAAGTAATCTAAATTTCAAATAAATACCTTTAAAAAAAGGAGTGATAAAGTAAATTACAGTTTTTGGACATCAACAACGCCTATGCAATCATAATATAGCTAAACTTTTTTTTCAAAACAGGCAAGCTACAAATAGTAAAATTTTAAATCATTCATGATATTCTTCAACTAAGTAAGCATCACTTTAAGTGAAAATAGTTCGAGAATCTCATTATGAAACAACAACTGATGTACAAAAAAAAAATCAGAATTATAAAGAAACTAAGGAAACCTAAATTGCAAGAATAAAATTGATTTTTCTTAATTGTATAGACATCTAATTGAAATATACTCACTGATATGCTTAAGTAATATATCAATTTCTTTTCATATTAACTTTCTTGTAACAAACCTAAGAGGCAAAAATATTTGCTCTCTGAAGTGTAGAAGCGTAGCTTTAATATATGGCACTGTCATTATTCAAAGAATTTAAATACATTGTAACATAGTTACCAAGGAATTGTAATAAATGTCCAATATGAAAACATGGACATACTAAAAGGCTATAAAGCTCTCATACATCAGATGATAGGGGCAATCAGTGACAGCCAATCACACTGCTTCATTGGTTGATGGAAATTACAGATGAACCAATCACATTGCTTCACACATCAGTTGACAGACACAGATATTGAACGACAGCCAATCATAATGCATCACTGACACATCACATGATGTACATATTATTCAATCATATTGCTTCACACATCAGTTGACAGACACAGATATTGAATGTCATCCAATCATAATGCATTACTCATCACATGATGTACATATTATCCAATCATATTGCTTCACACATCTATGACATTGACAGTGGATAAAAGTCTATCCTATTGCTTCACAGATCACAGTGACAATAAAACACAAAAGCCTAATGCTCAAATGAGCTAAAACTTACTAAATATATTGAAGAAAGACAAGATAAATCACAAGTTTCGTTAGTCTATCTGGTTTTTGGTTCAACTACGCAACATTTTTTTATTCTGCTAGCTCAGTCTGTTTGATTTTATGATCTTATGTTCCTGAAAATTGACGACACAGTGTAACTATTTTCATCAAAAGAATAATATTGTCAACAAAGTTGGTAGATTTTGATGCTTACATTATAAATGACAGACCTAATCTATCATTGTGCTGGATAAGAGTGACTTTCTAAGCCATCTTTTAGATACCAAAGAACATACATGCCATTATTTTAGGCTATTTTTTGGGACACTTTTCATTTGGAGGTGGGAGTGGACGCATTAATCAGCAGCCAAATTGTTTTTAAAATTTACATAGTGGTATACAACCTATAATACCAGTATTTACAACTTGCAAATTTAATGACAACGTGTCAATAATTATTAATAGTTTTTCTTTCTTTTTTTTAAAGTATTAAGGCTTTGTAAGTTCAATCAGTCACAAAATAGAATAAAGCTATGTTAAGTAAGGACAATAAGCCATTTTATAAAACACTACATACCTGATACTCTTGTTCAGTAAGCACTCCGGCTACAGCTACTATCTGGTATTGTTTAGCTTTAAGGTTTTCTAGAGGTTTTCTTAGCGTTCTCATTAGATTGGCATTAACTATACTGTGAAACAACTGCATCTGCTTCTTCCTTGCACTCGGGTCAAATATTAGCAGACGCAAAGTCTTGTCCTTCAATTCCTCGATGCCAACTATGGTACGACTATGACCTTGAAGAAGGGAAGTTTCAGGTTGCTAGGTTATTTGCTATATATCCTTCTCATGAAGATTCTGATTCCATAATGACTTCAAATTATTAAATTACTACACAAAATTGCTAAGGTAATCAACAAACCTTTTCACTAAATAAGAATATGTAAAGGCAACATTTAAGACAAAATATTTCTTTATCATAAAAACTTGAATTTTTAACCGTATCACATACAGAGAACATCTTCAGAGCAACAGCCTTTGGGAGACAAAGATTTTCATTGGTTGATGCGAGGTAGAGCACTAGAGAGATAAAATTTTACATTAGAAGAAAATTGATAATGTTGCGGTAAGGCGGTTATGGCTGTACAGAAGATGTTGAACTGTGTAATACATGTATAATCGCATAACTCTATTACATATATTCTGTTTTTCGTAACTATTCCTTTTGTTTAAACATTACTGATGGATTAAGCCTATTATTGACTCAAAACCATTTGCAACACAAAATTAGAAGTGTATGTATTATAAAATGTAAATTTCACAAAACACTGGGGAACATATTTCAAAACTTATAACATGCCATGTATCATTTCTTCCTTTACTCAATCACATTCATGGATTGAACCTTATCCCCATCACAGTCTTTACAATAACACTTTCTCATCTTTAATCATTATCTTTGGCTGTTTAATAATTGAAATAGACACCCCAACTTGCTATTTCCCTCTTCAATCTTCTAATATGTTTGATATATATTTAAAACTTTTATCTAGATAAAAGTATATTCTATGTATAAACTATCATGTCATACCTTGATGTTGTAGATACAATGGTGGTTTAAACACAGCAGATTTCTCAAAATAACTCTTTACCCATTCAAACAACTTAGGATGTGTTCCATTTGGGCCTGATGGATTATGAAAGTCTAGCAGTTTACACCTGAAAATTAAGATTCAAAGAAAGTTGTTAATGTTTGAATAAAACAAATGTTAATACATTATTTAGGTAAGACCTAGTGAAATAATTAATACTGAATTTTTATCTAAATGTATAGTATATTTCAGGAATAGCTAAGTTACTCCAAAACACAAACACTGAAAAATATTTCAGTTTCTTTCATTCACTTCTAAGAGAATGTGATTTTTTTCAGGTTTGTAAAGTCAATAGTGTTATTTGTTAAAAGATCATGTAAAAACAGTTAAAACTATATGTGCTAACTGTCTGGATGTGTTAAACATGGGTTTTGTTTGTTTGATTGGGTTTTACGTCACACCAACACAGTATAGGTCATATGGCGATGTTCCAGCTTAACTGGTAGAGGAAGACCTCAGGTGCCCTTCCATGCATTATTTCAGACACGAACGGGCATCCGAGTAGAAATATCGGCGTTCGGTAAGCCAGCTGGTTAGCTTCCTCACATGAAAGAATCCAAAGTCCCTGTCGGGATTCAAACAGACAGAACATAGGTATGACTGTACTTAAATAATTGAAATAAATAATAATATTAATATAATATAATAATATTGAATAATAAAGAGACACCTACTTCACTCTAAGAGATGCCAGAGGTAGCTACAATTTAGTTGCTCCAACCCAAATTTGACAGGACTACTTTACCCCCAAAGGCTGATCCCCAAACCTTTGCTTTTTAAAAAACCTTTCCCCCAAGCTGCTTCTATAAACCCTTTTGGGTATTTTTTGGGGAAATAGGGGGGAAATTTAAAGGGCCCTACCTGTTAACAGATCTTACAATTTACTAGCAGAGATATGAGTATATATGACTCAATATTGCTATCCTACCTTTATTTCATTTAAAAATACTTGTAAAAATTCCAACTTTCCTATTTCTAACAGCAAACACATTTGAGCTTAAGTCGAGCTAATAATTCTACAAGATAATATAGATTTAGATAAAAAAGCATGTAATAATTGAAAAATATCCTTAAGAATATCATGACACTGTAATGACAAACACCTAAAAACACTTATTTGAATAATCAAACTTAACACAGATTGTGTCCGTCATTTTTATTGCTTAATATTCAATGAATAAGAAGCCAAACCAACCATTGAACAGAACTTTGTTATAGGTAGGCTCTGTCATTAGAGATGAAAGTAACATCTGAAAATTCCTGTATCCACACCCCCAGCCCTTGTCACCATAGAACCCAGCATAATGACTTACCACTGGCCCATAAACCCAAAGCTTTTGGCAACACCATGGGTTTGGTGTTGGGGTAAAAACCCCTGCAGTTTTTTCCCAACACCTGGTTCAAAAATCAAATACATTTCATTTTATAAAAAACTAAAAAACCCAAACATTTTTTTTTGTGAGCAAGGTTTTTACAACTAAATTGAAGGGTTTAAAAGGGAAAACCCTTTTTATTTTCCCCCTTTTCTTGATGGTTTTTTAAAAATTTAAAAATTTAAATCTCACACACCAACCCCCTTGTGCAAATCAAAAATTTTCCCACAAATAAGCACATAATTTTTTTCCCAAATTTTAAATCCAAATTTTTAAACCTCAAGGGTTAATTTTGTGACGTTTTACTATAAAGGTGTTTTGAAAAAAAAAACCCACAAAAATATTCAAAGCCCCTATATTTTTTTAAACAGTGTTTGTTTTTAAAACCTTAGTACAGCTATCGAAAAATGTACTCAAAAAAATTTTTATGTTACATGTGGGCTAAACTTTTTAGCTTTCCCATCCTCTAATTTTTGTTTTGAAACTCCCCAACTTAAAAACGGGCCCCAATTGATATTTTAATGGAGGGCCCAAACCTTAAAAAGCGGAAAATTTAGACAGCTAACCCCTATGAGCCCCAGTTAGACTGCAGGGAAAAGTTGAGGTTTGCCCTCCCAAATAGAAGCAAAGGAATTAAGTACATTGTCACTCGCCTTTGAAACATTTATGAAAAATCTACATTACACAATACCTTTAGTACACGACGTTCCATCATCAATTCCTCTGGCATCTGCGAACTTGAAACCATTTTTACGCTCATGAAATTCAACAACACTTAAATCACCGTTAGCAACAGCCCTTTCAAGATTGGTCTCATATGCCTTCTTATAAGGTGTTCCCTCTGCCATTCCAAACATCACCTTAATTATACACAAAAACTGAATTAAACAGGGATACATGTATGTCTATTATCAAGGCTTTTTCAAGTTGCATTGGGAAGAGGTGTTTGGCTTAAATTTGGCAATTTAGGGATTTTTCTTTTTCATTTTTCTTCAACACAGTACACCACAATTTTCCCCTCCCAATGGGCTATGTCATCGTTCCCCTATACATGTAAGTGAAAAAATTCTGACTTATATTCATATAATGATGCAAATTTACCTAAAGCATGGTATATTGTGATACAGAAGATATATTTATGTACATTTTTATCAAAAAGGAAAAGAGAAATACATTCTTAACTCAAAACAAGATCACCTCTAGTGCATGTGTTTTAGTGTGATCCCAAAATGTTCACTTGCATGTCATTTATATCATATTATGAAAACTTAACCTTGCAGTGTCTATTCTAGGACGCGCGATTGCGCGATTCACGCTAATATTTCAAAGATTGCGCACAATTCAAAATCATGTGAGTGAAAATCGCGCATCTAAAAAAAGTTAATAAAATTGTAAAAAGTTCTGGAAATAAAGTGATCCCTAGCAAGCATAATTCCATCTCGCATTTTATTTGGTTGTTCTGTTACATTTACACCGGAAACTGAAGGGAGGTAACTGTAAGCTAATTATAATAATTTAGTACCGTATGGTACTGGTTACATGAGTTGACGGAAATTAACGGAATGTTTCGTACCTACCGGAACTAGTGTGCTAGGTCTGACAGTTTTGCGCCAGTTTAGTGTAGTAAATAATCAAGAAATCCTAGCTTGGCTACGATCTAGACGTAAAAGATAGGTCGATTGTTTGTATTGTCAATCCCTTGATAGTCAATCGTGACAGTTCTATAATAATTTGTTTTCGTTCATAAATTAAGGGAGGACAACTTCTGCTGCCTTAATTGAATATTTTCGTTTTAAATATTTCATCGGTTGAACGCCTCAGTGTAAACTTAATGCAGACGATTTAACATTGGCAGTTTATATTGGCACCCCTAGATTTTGAAAATCGCCCCCTTTTTGAAATAGAGGGGGGGGAAATCACCCCTATTTTTGAATTCCTAGAATAGACACTGACCTTGTAGATCATGTCATTATTAAAATATAGCTAGTTTAAACATGAACTTACCTGTAATTTTTGAAACTCTTTTTCTTCTTCATGATTAGCCATGTCCGTCTCCTTCTCCTGTAGAGCTTGGGCAATCATCTTATCTGTTCTTTCTTGTACTGAAAGTATTGATTGCATCATTACCCTTCACTTGCTACAGAATTCACAGAGTATATAAAAAATCTGGAATTGGGTGATTTCTACAGACATTCAAAACAAATACTGGCAGTGAAATCACAGGCTTGGGTTTATTGAGACTGTTTATGAGTGATAATGGAAAATGCAACATCTTGTCCACCAGTACCAGCTTAAGCAGTGTTAAATGAATACTTAAAGGTACCAGAATCAACTAGAACTATCGCTGAATGCAATTCATACCCCCACCAATGTCCTTGACAGAAGATGACTTGGAAAGGTGGTTAAGGGAATAACTTTAGTGGCAAAAATACATAAACATAAAAAGAAATTATCTGTGGTGGAAAAAAGACTAATTGAAGAGGTAATAGTATAAATATATATTGTCAAATCATGTTCGAAAAGTTACAAATAACCTTTCATTTTCCCAATGTACTAAACATTTTCTAAGTCAATTTTTGACCTTCAAGTGTGGCCTTGACCTTAAGCTGGCACAAGGGTAAGATGGGTTCTGCACATTGCCCAGTTGGGGTGAACATATGAGTAAAGTTTGAAGAAAATCCTTCCATTAGAATAGAATTTATAGAGCTGACACGACATATTGTCTAGTATTGATTGTATGTAAATTTAAAGAATTAAAAAGGGGCATAACTTTGTAAAAATGCAATACAGAGTTATGAAACTTGACCTGCATATCTTATTTGTGACACCTCATATATCTTTTAAGTTTCAAGCAAATACCTGGGCTAGTTTCAGAATTCTTCAAGTACATGTTAAAATTTAAGAACATTTTCTTTTTCTTTTTGACCTTCAAGTGTGACCTTGACCTTTAGCCGGCACAAAAGTATCATGGATTCTGCACATAACCTTGTTGAGGTGAACATTTGAGTAAAGTTTGAAGAAAATTCTTGCATTAGTATAGGATTTATAGACCGGACACGACATATTGTCTAATATTTGATTGTATGTAAATTTGAAGAGGTGAACATTTGAGCCAAGTTTAAAGAAAATCTTTCAATCAGTGTAGGACTTACAGACTGGACCGACATACTGTCCAATATTTGATTGTTTGATATTTGACCTTCAATTGTGACCTTGACCTTGAGCTGACACACGGGCAACATGGGTTCTGAACATCCCCTTGCTGAGGTGAACATTTGAGCCAAGTTTGAAGAAAATCTTTCAATTAGTGTAGGACTTACGGAGCGGACACGATATACTGTCTAATATTTGATTGTTTGATATTTGACCTTCAATTGTGACAATTGTTAAAGGATTTATAGAGCGGACACGAAAATGGAGACGGACAGAAGGACCGACCGATTTACAAACGGACGGATGCGACAAAGCGAATCCATTATAGCCCCCACCCCCCACATTTTGTGGTGGGGGTATAATTATCCTGAAGGGCCAGAAAAATAGGTAACAATGTTCACTGAAATGTTAACTTTCACAATTTTAACAGTTGTTTATAGAACAAAGGAAAGCATTTTGTCTATGATGATAGCTATTAGTTAATTAGTTTTGATTGGTTTGTATAGAGACTTAAGGATGCATCATTGAAATAAATTGCTATGCAATGAGTCACTAAAATTTATTTATGTCTTTCTACAGCTGCATGATACCCATCTTAACACTTATATAAGGACATTTTTAATTTGTGGACTTAAAACTGTTTTCTCAAAAGTTCTAGGGAAAAAATTAAAGAAAGAAATATAAACTTACTAGGCGTCTGTTCCGCTGAGAAATGACCATTTACATGTGCTTCTAACCTGGATTTTTCATAAAATTCCATTTCACATACAGGACAGTGTAAGACAGATGGGCCTGCCACTGCTTCTCCTATAGCTGCCCTTGGTTTATCTGGGCTAAATATCTGAGAATGTTCCTGATTTACATGTAGACTTAGCTCCCCTGAATTTGTGTAGATCCTCATACAAATTGGGCATGGATATTCTTCACCAATCTCCATCTGACTACTTGTAGCAGACGCACTACTATATAGACTCGTAGTATCACTTCTACTACTAGGTCCTACTTCAGATCCGGTTGGTCTTGGCCTGGCAGGGCTTAAAACATCAACATGTGCCATATTAACATGTGCCTGAATCAGATTCTCCGATGACGTTATAAACTGACAGAGAGGGCATGAGAATCCTGCTGGCATGTTAGAATTTATATCTGGCTCTACATTATCATTTATATCTGGCTGGAGGACTTGGTTTAGGTTGGGCTGTAACGGAATGTTGTTGTTGTCTTGACCTTCTTCCATTATTACATCATTTTGACTATGTATACTGTTTTGAAGTCTCATTCGAACACTTTGCTCTGAATCTAATTGTGAGTTTTGCGCACTGTCAAATGTATCACATGATAATGAACCCCTCATTGTATGCGATGAGACAGAAGGTTTTAAAGAATGAGAAGATGATGAAGCTCTGATTGTCTCAGATGACGCAGATTCTCCTACCATTCTTGATGGACCCGGCTCATTCACTAACTCAAAATTTAGTTGCAATTTACCTCTTCTGTTTATATTCGATTCTGATTGGGAAGTTTTCATACTTGATGATGATTTTTTAGATGGCGATTTTTGAGGACTTTGATCTAAACTGTGAGAATGTTTCAATGAAGTTTTAGATGGTGTTTTAGGTATTGCTCCACCATGTTCTATTCCAAATTTTTCTGGATCATCTTTACCTGAACCATGTCTAGTTCTGGTGCTTGTTGTGTTAGTTTCTCCTTCTGTCACCTTCATATCAGGACTTGTCATGTCATCAAAATGTACGGTATTTATATGAATATTCATTTCATCACTTGTAATACCTGACAAATCACAGAATGGACAACACACATTATTTTCAACATGTTCCAACAGTACATGTGTTCTCATGTTTTCTTCAGTCAAGTCTTCCTGCCCACAAATAAGACATGTAAATTTCTCTCCAAGTAGCCCTTTACTAACAGCTAGATTCTGTGTCTGTCCTGAAGCCATTGTCATTATCTAAAAGATAACAAATAGATAATATGATTTTTTCTAAAAATATTTGGCAAAATTTAGTTATGTGGCATCAGCTTAATTTCTCTCCCACATGGTAACAGACCTTCCTAAAAGTGAAAAAATGGTGTCATGAAAGAATATCAAGTTAAATTTTTCTTCTTCCTATAAATCTATTAATGGTTAATTTAAAATGGTGTGCATTATGACCACAATAAATAAGCACTAAAGCACATGAACATTTGTGTTCCCTTGGTAACAGACAGATTGATGCCCGGGTACTGATGTTAAACCAGATTGTCCACGGACTAGTTGCAGTACCAATGTAGTCATTTATTATACCTCACAATCCTCTCACAAGACACATGCAACCCCTTTCTTTAATACGTCAAATCCATATTCCATGTATTTTTTTTTTAGTCCCTCTACACAGCAACCATCTAAGAAGTATTCAATTTCATTAAAAATATCCGAATTATTTCATTGCAGCAGCTTATTATTGATAAATGTGTTAACTGAATCTTGTTTTTAATTAATTTTCTTCTGTTGAAATTCCCCTTTGAATAAAAAATATTTGAAAATTTTGCAAAATTTCCCTCCTGCATTGACCCTGGCCCCAGTCTCAAAATGCTGCATTGACCCTCAGTGTGGGCCCCAGTCTTAAAATGCTAACTAGAGCCCTGCATTATAATCCAGATTTCATTATAATGCCAATAAATATTGCACATCCCTCTGTCATTTCAGGAAAGAAATTAACAAACAAAGTCTAAGTCCTATTTTAATCTTTTATAATTATGCATTTCTAGACTACCCTTTTATTTTTAATATTATCATTTTTTGTTACCATTCTTTGAATTATGTTTGTTTTACTTATTTCTTCTGTGCATTTCTTCTTTTAAACATCATGCACTAATGTGCACCTGCACAAAATAATTGAAAGCAGGGGTGTAGAAATCCTATGCCCAACTGTCCAGCTCTACTTTATGCAACAAGGTGATGAAATGTTGTTGGATAGAAACAAATGCTCCCAAGCAAGGCCAAGTAGAAGAACCATGACCTTTCAAAGTTTAACTTGCATCAAAGGCATGGTTACTATAAAAAGAGTTTTACAAGAATATAGAAAAATAGAGGGATATCACATATTCTTCAATGGGGCTAGCAACCAGAGTGAGACCATGGTGAATCTTGTAGAAAACTTAAAGGGATAACCTAGCATATACATGTATATGTCTGAGTTCCAGTTTTTAAGTTTAAGAGAGTTAAGCATGTCCATGATTACAGAAGTCTGACCATAATCTAGTTTGATCCATTGGGCTGTTCTTTTTTGGGGCATTTTCAATTTGATCTATTTGTATTTTGGTGTCGGGAGACCATGCTTCGCAACCATATTCAACCTTTGGCCTAACTAACGTCTGGAAAGCAAAAGACTTAATGCATTAAGATTTATGTTTCAGCAAGGTTCCAACAGTAAGGCAACTCTGTAGTGACAAAAGAAGGGCTCTTTCTGGGGCTTATGATCATAACCAATTTTAACAAGAGCACTGCAAGGCGGATCATTATATGCCCGAAAGAACTTTTTCTTTTAGTTAAGTAAGGATGAAGCATTTGTAAGACATGGGAATTAAATACAGTATTACCTCCTTCAAAAAGTAATCCTCCTTTATAGCTGAAGAACCTTTTTATATATTTATAAGTTGCTGTTTTCAAAGCACCACCATCAAGTTGTTATCTTGTAAGTAAAAATGCTACAACAGATGGACGAAAAGATGTCAGGGGTATAAAGCTGTTACTCCTATAAAATTTTACAGCTGTAGGTTGATTAATACTTGAGTTATTGAGCGAAAACTGTTTCCAGTTTGAAGGTGATAGTAACCTTGATCTTTGACCTTGTGACCTCAAAATCAATAGGGGTCTTCTACCCAATATGGACAATCATCCTATGAAGTTTGAATACTGTGGGCCAAATGGAACTTAAGTTATGCTCCGGAAACCATTTTCAGTATTAAGCTAATAGAAACCTTGACCTTTGACCTTGTGACCCCAAAATAAATAGGGGTCTTCTACCTAATATGGACAATCATCCTATGAAGTTTAAATACTGTGGGCCAAATGGAACATAAGTTATGCTCCGGAAACCATTTTCAGTTTTAGGGTAATAGTGACCTTGACCTTTGACCTTGTGACCCCAAAATCTTTTGGGTTCAACTACCCAATACGGAAAATTATCCTATGAAGTTTGAATACTGTGGGCCAAATGGAACGTAAGTTATGCTTCGGAAACCATTTTCAGTGGTAGGGTAATAGTGACCTTGATCTTTGACCTTGTGACCCCAAAATCAGTAAGGTTCTTCTACCCTATATAGACATTCATCCTATGAAGTTAAAATACTGTTGGCCAAATAGAACTTAAATTATGCTCCGGAAACCATTTTCAGTTTTAGGGTAATAGTGACCTTGACCTTTGACTTTGTCACCCCAAAATCAATAGAGGTTTCCTACCAAATATGGACAATCATCTTATGAAGTTTGAAAACTGTTGGCCAAATGGAACTCAAGTTATGCTCCGGATACCATTTTCAGTATTAAGCTAATAGTGACCTTGACCTTGTGACCCCAAATCAAAAGGGGTCTTCTACCCGATAAGGACAATCATCCTATGAAGTTTGAATACTGTGGGCCAAATGGAACTTAAGTTATGCTCCGGAAACTATTTTCAGTTTTAGGGTAATAGTGACCTTGACCTTTGACCTTATGACCCCTAAATCAATAGGGGTCTTCTACCCAATATGGGCAATCATCCTATGAAGTTTGAATACTGTGGGCCAAATGGAACTTAAGTTATGCTCCGGAAACCAAATTACTAACGGACGGACAGACGTACTCACAAAATGGTACTTTATGTGACTTTTCCTTTGATCTTTTTGGCCATTTTTAGTCACACAAGGCTTAAAAAAAGACACACAAGTAAAAACGGAATGAATAGGATCAAAGAGAATTTATATGCCCGAAAATTCTTTCGGGCATATAAAAACATATGTAAATCATCACTAAATGGTCTTTTACTGCTGATGTACTAAAGTTCTATTCAATATTTATCAGTTATCACACAGTAAAAGGTTAAAAATAGGATAAACATTTCCACACAAATTCAAAATGCCATGTTGGGTCCAAATGGTTAACAAAACTACTAGTTTATAATGTAAAAAGCATGTGAATAGGATTATTAAAACTTGTGACTTTCTAAAAAATATGTAATATTTTGCTATGAAATTTGTGTAAAAAAACACTTTAATACAACAGAAATTAATCATGTAAGCATTATCTGTAATATTTCGATATTTCTGCAACAAAGTGCCTCCCGATATAAAGAACCTTGAGGATAAAATTATGTATCCGTCTTGAGTCTTGTCCGAAAATACCTACACATTAAAGAGAAAGATATTCACTTTCAATTTCATTTAGCTTGCATGTATATATTTGAAATGAAATTATGTTGCAAAATGCTACGGTTTAATGAAGAAAGATATTCACCTATGTCTGAGTAAGGCTGTCTGGAAGGTATTTTACATTAATTAATATGCAGCATCTTCTTCTTCAACTACCTGTCATTATTGACCAATCAATGCTCACCTTTCACATCATGTAACCAATGAAACCTCGACCGATTCGGACCGGAAGATCATCATTCGGATTTGTTTAGGTTCAATCGTCACTTGTCAACAAACCTGTCAATTAGATAAAAGTAGTTAGATATCCTACCAACTTTAGCGAATACCTGCGTTTATATGCCATGTCATTCCTTTCGAAGCACTCTTTCCAGTACAAAAGTCTACGTAGACTGAAATATTTTGGATCAGGACGTATGGGAGAGAGAAAAATTACTGTTTATCACAGACATTTGGCAGAAGGTCAGTACACGTACAAATACAAATAGTTTGAAATTTACAGATTAACACTGACACTAGCTGATTACTATATGAAGGCTGTCAGTGTCGAATTGTAGGTAATATATTCAACATAGGTTACTTAATCTTTATGAATAATGATTTTGATATTTTGCTCGAAATATATTGCTTTTGAAATACTACTCAAAGTTTTCTATGCAAATGCATTTTTTCACACATTGTGAATCTTCATAATATCTATGGCAGTGGCTAGCTGGCCAAAAGTTCAATAAAAAGTTGCATATGCTAGTTGTGAAAACCTTGAGTGACAGGAAGTTCGCATATGCAAGTTGTGAAAACGAGGCAACCTTATATATTGATAGTATTTTTGTCACACTTCATATGTTATATACTACTCTATATATCAGTCGTTACAGACTTGTTATAGTTTATGTCGGTCAAGCCCAACGTTGATTTGCCCAGAAGCAAAAATATTTCAAAGCAGCAGTGATTTTTTTACAAACTCATCAGTGTGGGTCCTAGGACTCGATGGGCTATAAATCTACGAGTCCCAAAATTTTCCTTAAATATTTTTATGCTTATCTATAGTATAGCACATTATTATTTCTTATCTGTAGAAGAATTGCAGACCTAGAATATGATTGACATAACTTGAACACAATTTGGTATTTATTACCAAATTCCGGTCAGACAGGACTCCCTACTCAGAAAAAGTATGCATCTAAAAGATGCACATTATTTGAAACTTTGCATCCACAGCAAATTCAATAAGTCCTGGACTCAGGATGCAGAGGTAAAAAATCACTGAAGCAGCTTTATATTTATAGGACTAATGTATGTACCAAACAGGTATACCTTTTGGGTTTTTTTCACTTGAAAGGCAGAGTTTGAAAGGCAAAATGTAATGTTTATAACTGAATTAAGGCATATGTGAATTTTAAAAAGCATATGATGCAGATATGTTGGCAGGCAGTTGAAATGATGGATCTTTTGTGAGGTAAATGTGGCACATGATCTGCACCATACTGTTACCACTAGTGCCTGGGTGAGGTTCCTATAGTGAGGCAACTCTATATAGAAAAAAGAAGGGCTATTTATGGTGCTTATGATCATTTCCTGGTTATACTGACTTGAAAAAACTTCAACTTCAAACTAACTGCCCAGCAGTATGCACAGTTGGTAATGGATTCATTTTGATGAATAATAATACCTGTCCTCATACAATCATTGTCATTTACTTGCAAAAAGAGGTATTACTTGTTTGGACTGGCTAGCAAGATCCCTAGACCTAAATCCCATTGGGCACATGTGGAGTGAGTTACAGAACTGTATTTCAGCCCATCAGGTCCAATTAAGCAGCATTAAGAAACTGTGTGCCTTCCTTATGTTAAAGAGTTGGACATATTTTTACAAGCAGTAATGAAAAACTTGATAGGGGACATGCTGTCATCAGCATTGTCAGGTCTTCTTTCTATGAAAAGTTAAGTGTAATATTTACTTTGATTATAGATAAAAGTAAAGACTCAGGTGCTGAAAATGTTGGAAAAGAGAATACAGAAAACAACAAGGATGACAATACAGATGTTATGAAGGGAAAGGAAGAAAGTGCAGTAACTGAGGCAGAGACAAAGTCAAGATTTTCAAACTATGTTGGTAAGATGATCATCAAAGTTAAGAGTATAAAGCTATATTGGACTCTCTGTTATTGTAAAATCAAAGTGTATGAATCTATATTGGACTCTCTGTAATTGTTAGATTAAAGGATATGAATCTGTATTGGACTCTATTATTGTTAGATTAAAGGGTACATTTATAAATCTATATTGGACTCTCTGTTATTGTTAGATTAAAGGGTATAAAGCTATATTGGACTAAATGGACCTGCAGTAATTAATATTACATTCAAGGGTATAAAAGTATAAGATAGGATCATCTTATGGCAAGCTATATAGGTAAATTATAGCATATATATGAAATCTATATGAAATGACAGTGAATTTAATGATCATTTAATCACAGATTTAGCACAACCTACAGAATGTGTATATTGTACTGTTTTCTTGTCTTCTATTACAGAAGAGGTTAAGGAATCACGAAGGGAGTACCTCAAGGGCAGTAAGTATTGTAAATCATCAGTCATATAATTTCACTTTTACAGAAGATTCAATGTCGGCAGGGTTACTATCATGAACTAAGGGGATTTTACTTAATTATATAGAGGATATTTGTTTAGTTCAGTGTAAGATCGGAATATATTTCACCGAGTGAGCACCAAAAGGTGTATTTCACGAGTGGCGCAGCCACGAGTGAAATATGAACTTTTGGTGTTCACAAGGTGAAATATATTTCGATCTTACACTAAACTAAACAAATTTTCTTTTTATTATATGCAAGGAAACGTTTTAAAAAGACATTAAACCTAATACTGAATGAAAAGCGCGCCAAATAATAATACAACGTGACGTCATTTACGACGTCATGTCATAAAGTTGGTTCCCAGTACTGTGCACACTGGTATTTCACTGAAACAACGTAAGGGGCTTAAATTCAAAACAGTGAAATTATCAAAGTGGTAATTTCACTGTTTAAAACAGTGAAATTACCAGTTTTATATCACTGATATATTTCTATAAACCACCGAAAAGCATGTAATAAAGAGTCATACAACCTTTATTTTTATCTCATATTTAATTTGGCATAATTATTGACTTTTGTTTGAACTCTTCCACTCCTTGGGCCTTTGAGGCCAGAAATTTACTTTTCTGGACAGTTTAACTTCTCTCCTCTGGTAGCCTTTATTTATTGACCAGTATTTTACATATTTGACATGTATGTTGATATTTTATAAGTAACTCCTCCATTAGATGGAGTTTGCTCCCAGTCATTGAGTCTACATAATATTACTTTAAGCTTGACTTCTCAAAGAAACCTGGGACTATCATAACCCTGGCATGAGCATTGTAATAATTGATTACAGTTTGGCATGCAGCTTTATATCTGACTATTCTTTTGAACATTCATTCATAAAAAAATTAAATGTAGGTTATTGTCCACGCACATTAAGAACTGTAGCTCTGATTATTTTCTGAATCATGCATATTTCTTTGTGAATTTAGAAAATACTTGGTTAACATTTAGTGTGCAAGTTCTGTCTCCACAACCAATTAAGATTTTCAGTTGATGCATGTCTTCAGATTAATAATTTTATAGATTTTAGTTTAGCACAAAATTACAGAATAGCTTTTCACAGTATCAAATCCTAGTGCGTACTTTCCTGCATTAATACCCTTGTTGTACTATTAAGATCTGAGAATGGTCAAGAATGCTCTAATTCTTAGCAGCATTACAAAGACTTACCTTATTGACACATCTCTCAATTATTTGTGCAAAGCACCTATTAGTCCTTATATATGAACCTCTTTCATTCTCTGAGGCCAAAGGCAAGACAATCATATTAAAATAGATTTTCCAGTCTCTTTATTTGATGACCAGTATCATAATATTATTTGGTATATACGGTAGGTATCTTGCATTTACCCTTACCCTTGTGGTGTGAGATTTAGTATTTCTTTTATCAAGGTCACTAAGATTTCAAATAGGTTATATCTACTCTACTTTGCCTCTCAGAGTTATGCCTGTATTTACCTGAGCATTATTATTTAAGTGAGCTTCACAACCCTCTTGTTCTAATGTTTAAATGGTACACAACCATACTAAGTAAATAAAGCCCTATTTTGAGTTATATATATGAGCCGCGTCACGACAAAACCAATGCAATGCGTTTGCGACCAGCATGGATCCAGACCAGGATCCATGCTGTTCGCCTACAAACCCTATTACAAGAAGAGAAACTGATAGCGAACAGCATGGATCCTGATCAGACTGCGCAGATGACCAGGCTGGTCTGGATCCATGCTGGTTGCAAACGCATTGCGTTGGTTTTGTTGTGACGCGGCTCATATGTATTAGCAAACATTGTGCCATAGGAACAGCCGTCTTTTCACTATTCTGAAACAAATTAAATTTTATAATTTGTGTTGTTAATACATTTAACATGAAATATTTTAATAGTGCATGTATAATTTTTTACATATGAAATATTTGAAATGAAATTTAACTATTTCAGGATCTGGATATTATGTTAAACCTACTAATCGACAAAAGCTAGCTTTACTCTGGGCCAAAAAGTATCCAACAAGGGATGATATTCCAGAAACTGTTGTGTAAATATATTATATACTTTATTTCTCTTATTTCTCTTCCTTAAGTAAAGCCTGTTGGCAGATTGTAAAGTCTACAGACTCTAGATTTTTCTAAATTAAAATCAAGGTTAACCTCCATGGTTAAGGCAATTTTTTTAGCTCGACTTTTCAAAGAAGAGGGAGAGCTATTGTACTCACACAGGCGTCAGCATCACACTTGGTTAAGTTTTGTGTGTCTCGTCTCCAAAGTGACTGAAGCAATCAACAGCACTTATTCTGTTTGACTGATGTATCATTATACCCCCAAAAACGAAGTTTGAGGGGGTATATAGTAGTCACCCAGTGGTTGGTTGGTTGGTCGGTAGGTCCAGCGGTCTGTTGCATTTTCCTTGTCCGGGTTGGAATTCAATATAACTTCATACAATGGTCAAGCACATTGAGAGGAAGTGCAGTGCACAAGAACCATAACTCCATCTTGACTAATTACAGAGTTATTGCCCTTTGTTACTTTTCCTTGTCTGGAGCACAACTTGAAAACTACTGGTTGAAACTCGAAACACCTTCATACAATTTTCAAGCACAATAAGGGGAAGTGCAATGCACAAGAACCATAACTCTATCTAAAGTAATTACAGAGTTATTGCCCTTTGTTATTTTTCCATTGCTTTCTTTTGTCCGGACTATAACTTGAAGACTTATAGTTGGAATTCAATATCACTTCATACAATGGTCAAGCACATTGAGAGGAAGTGCAGTGCACAAGAACCATAACTCCATTTTGACTAATTACAGAGTTACTGCCCTTTGCTACTTTTCCTTTTCCGGAGCATAACTTGAAAACTACTGGTTGGAATTCAAAACAACTTCATACAATGGTCAAGCACAATAAGGGGAAGTGCCATGCACAAGAATCATAACTCCGTCTTGACTAATTAAAGAGTTATTGCCCTTTGTTACTTTTCCATTGCTTTTTTTGTCCGGAGCATAACTTGAAGACTAATGGTTGGAATTCAATATTACTTCATACAGTTGTCAAGCACATTAAAGGGAAGGCAGTGCACAAGAATTATAACTCCATTTTGAGTTTGACAAATTACAGAGTTATTGCCCTTTTATACTTTTCCTTGTCCGGGAAAATAACTTTAAACATACTGGTTGGAATTTTAAACAACTTCATACAATGGTCAAGCACAATAAGAGGAAGTGCAGTGCACAAGAACCATAACTCCATTTTTACTAATTACAGAGTTACTGCCCTTTGTTACTTTTCCTTGTTTGGAGCATAACTTGAAAACTACTGGTTGGAATTCAAAACAACTTCATACAATGGTCAAGCAGAAGAACTATAACTCTGACCAGAGTAATTATAGAGTTATTGCCCTTTGTTACTTTTCCATTGCTTTTTTCTTGTCCAGAGCATAACTTGAAAACTACTAGTTGGAATTCAAAACTATTTCATACAATGGTCAAGTATATTGAGAGGAAGTGCAGTGCACAGAAACCATAAATCTTTTTTGACTAATTGAAAAGTTTTTGCCCTTTGTTACTTTTCATTGTCCAGTGCATAACTTGAAAATTAATGGTTGGAATCAATGAAACTTTATACAATGGTCAAGGGCAGTGAGATGAAGTGCAGTGCACAAGAACAATAATTCTATTTGGACTAATTACAGTTATTGCCTTCGTTCCTTTTTTTTGTCCAGTGCATAACTTGAAAACTAGTAGTTGGAATTCAGTACAACTTCATATAATGGTCAAGCGCATTGAGAGGAAGTGCAGTGTACAATAACCATAACTCAATCTTCAGTATTTATAGAGTTATTGCCCTTTGTTCCTTTTCCTTGTCTCTCTGGACTTATTACAGAGTAATCCAATAAAACTTCATCAATGGCCAATCACATTGAAAGGAAATGCAACATACAAGAACCACAACTATCTTTAATTGCCCACAACCATAACTCTATTTCAATTCTTTACAAGGTATTCTGTTACTAGTAACATTCTCATTTCCCAAGCAGTCTTGCGGGGATATTAATCACATTTAGTGATAGTTCTAGTTTTAATCTTAAAAATAGAGCATTATACATTTGAATATTTTACAGTGGTAAAAATTGATTATTTTTCATATTTCAATATTCAAAGATTTTTTTTATTAAAAGGCCCAAAGCTATCTGATACGTAGCATTGTTGAGTGGACCAGAATTTGTATATATTATAGTTCTATTCTCAAAAATGATATCTTTTTATTTTTTTCTTCTCTTCTATTTTCTCAAGAAAGTGATACAGACTAACATTTAGTACCTTTTGTAAGTGTTATGTTCATGTTTGCTTAAGTATCAGTTGATGTAAAAATGGTAAAAGGTCCACTCTGATAGCCATTGTAGCTCTTCCTGTGAAACATTAGGTACCAATCTTTTCCAGTACATGTATAAGTTTACATTATACCTGTAGTCTTTCAAATCTTTTACATTGATCAGATATTAAAAAACTAAAAACAATGTGATCCCTCAGAAGCATTTATCACAACAAAATTTCAGACCCGTTTTTAGTCTATACATTGTACATGAGGGATAATGAATTAGTGCAACATCCCTCATGCCCTCTAGTGCTGGCTTGAGCGGTACTCAATTCTCAACACTTAATAGTGCTGGCATCAGTGATCCTGAAGGACCAGAATAATATAACAACACTGAAGTGAAGTACGGGACAACTTTTTACAGCTTTTTAAAGCCATTAAAGTACTGTTTATATTTGAACTGTGTCACGACAAAACCAACATAATGGGTTGCGACCAGCATGGATCCAGACTAGCCTGCGCATCCGCGCAGTCTGATCATGATCCATGCTGTTCGCTTATAAACTCTATAACAAGTAGAGAAACTGGTAGCGAACAGCATGGATCCTGATCAGACTGCGTGGATGCGCAGGCTGGTCTGGATCCATGCTGGTCGCAAACCCATTATGTTGGTTTTGTCATGACACGGCTCATTTGTTTTTTCAGACACCAGGAGATTATATATGCTGAGAATACTGTAAGAACAGTAACTCTTTACTGGATGTTACTGACAATGTTTATTACTTTTATAACTTTAATCAAATGTGGACAAAGTAGAAAAAGAATATATCATGAAAAAATCCGGAAGAAACAGGAAAAGATTTTCCACGACAGAGAAGAAAGATTTGAGAAGCAACTTGCAGAATCAAAAAATTAGTTGCTGATATTATAAGATTGATTTATTGCTGTTATAACATGACAGATGGGTCATGTTTATATTTATGTTATGCCATTGGATGTCTTTCTGTCCAACCACAAATGGTCAAGGGTCACTGTAATCGAAAACAGAAATTAGGTGAATTGAAGATATTATAATGTTTTAGTAGAAAGTCCCTTTATTTGAACAACAGAAAACAGCAAACAGAATGGTCCCTTATGCTGTTGTTTCTAGATATGTGTATGTAATTTTGTGATAACATGTAAAGATTTGTTTGTTTATATGTATGTTTATAATATGAGATTTTAAGTCTGTAACAACAGTGGTTTAGGGTAAAAAGTGAATAATAAGAGTAAAAAGGTATGGGGTTAAAATATATACATGTAATGGGGTTAAGAAAGATCAATTATAAGTTAAAAAGAAAAAAACACAAATTGAAATGACCTGTAAATGTCATTTTCAAGGATCACTCCATAAAGGACAAGGTCACTGTTAAAGGTCACAAGTTCGAGCCTGTTATACTTTGTATTTACAGTCTAACTTTTAAATTGCTGGAGAGGTACAATGTTCATGATGTCTTCCTTATTTTGCCTACATCAGCTTCAAGGTTTCAGATGCCAAACTTTAAGGTTAATGCTTCAACTCGAGATTAAATGTTTGAGTCATCTGGCCTGGTTGTTGACATGATGTGCAGAGCTAGCATCTCATTCACCCAACTTTAAGGTTGTTGGAACACAATTGAAGTTCATCTGTGTTACCATTCTGATTCATTCCTTACATATCTCTTGAATAGGGAGAGGTAATTTATATTTATGATGTTTCTTTTACATTGCAACATTGTGCAGGGCACGCTGAAGTTGCACAATTTCTACACATTTCCTAACACCTTTACCTTGTATACATTGCTGTCCTACTCACCATTGCATTTTTATGGAGGAAAATAGTTTTTTACAATGTCTTACTTATGACATAAATGATTTACTGTAAACTTCAAATATATGTACCTTATCAGCAACCACAGTATATGTGGAAATGTTCATAACTCTAGTTATAAAACAAGAATTGTTTTTCCTTTGAACATAGAGTTTGCTTTTAATTAGTTCTTTTTTTATATTCTTTTCTGATACTGGTGAGGTTTATGCAGGCTTAAGGTAGATAGTTGTTTCTTATCTACATACACACTGTATGTGAAAATGGTTCATCTTGCAAGTAACTATATTTAAGTATCACCTCCCTTTTTTGAACCAGAATTTTACTTTAAATTTGTTACCTTTTACTGTATCTTTTTTATCAAACTTCAAGGACATGTTCCTTATCATATCCACATAATAAATGTTTTAAATTTACTACCGTCATTACAAGAATTATCTCCCCCTTTTAACTTTTGTACTTTGAAAAAAAAAAGTATTTTTTAAGGAATTTTAGAATATGGGCTATGTTTTACAAATGGTTGATAACAAGGTAGGGTTATTCAGAATAAATTTATAGACAATAGTAAGAATATGCCCATCAAATATATGTACTATCTAAACCTAAATGTGCAGTTTTGAGTTGTGGTACTTAGTGATATTAAAATAGGGCATTTTAAAGAAAAATGAGTCAATATTTATACTGGTGTGCTTGATTTTTATACTGGTGTGCTTAATTTTTATAGATCATCTTTGCATAAATGTGTATTTTGATAAAGAAATAATAACACCCAAATTTCAAGTCCATTTGTGTTATTACGCTTCAGCCTTTTTAGCTCACCTGTCACAAAGTGACAGGGTGAGCTTTTGTGATCGCTTTTCATCCGGCGTCCGTCGGTAAACTTTTACTTTAAATGACATCTCCTCATAAACCACTAAGCCAATTTCATCCAAACTTCACAGGAATGTTCCTTTGGTGGTCACCTTTAAAAATTGTTCAAAGAATTTAATTCCATGCAGAACTCTGGTTGCCATGGCAACCGAAAGAAAAAACTTTAAATATCTTCTTTTAAAAAACCATAAGAGCTAGAGCTTAGATATTTGGCATGAAACATCTTCTAGTGAGTGTCTACCAAGTTTGTTCAAATAAAAGCCCTGGGGTCAAAATTGGCCCCGCCCCGGGGGGTCATTGATTTTCCCTATATGCATATAGTAAAAACTTAAAAAATCTTCTTTTAAAGAACCCAAAGAGCTAGAGCTAAGATATTTAGCATGAAATATGTTCTAATGGGTGTCTACCAAGTTTGTTCAAATAAAAGCCCTGGGGTCAAAATTGGCCCCGCCCCGGGGGGTCATTGATTTTCCCTATATGCATATAGTAAAAACTTAAAAAATCTTCTTTTAAAGAACTCAAAGAGCTATGGCTAAGATATTGAGCATCAAACATGTTCTAATAGGTGTCTACCAAGTTTGTTCAAATAAAAGCCCTGGGATCAAAATTGGCCCCGCCCCAGGGGGTCATTGATTTTCCCTATATGCATATAGTAAAAACTTAAAAAATCTTCTTTTAAAGAACCAAAAAAATCTTCTTTTAAAGAACCAAAAGAGTTAGAGCTAAGATATTTAGCATGAAACATGTTCTAATAAGTGTCTACCAAGTTTGTTCAAGTAAAAGCCCTGGGGTCAAAATTGGCTCCGCCCCGGGGGGTCATTGATTTTCCCTATATGCATATAGTAAAAACGAGACACAAGTTTGTTCAAATAAAAGCCCTTGGGTCAAAATTGGCACCGCCCCGGGGGTCATTGATTTTCCTTATATGTGTATAGCAAAAACTTAAAAAATCTTCTTTGAAAAAACCCAAATAGCTAGAGTTAGATATTAAGCATGAAACATCTTTTAGTGAGTGTCTACAAAGTTTGTTCAAATAAAAGACCTGGGGTCAAAATTGGCCCCGCCCTGGGGGTCATTGATTTTCTTTATATGTGTATAGCAAAAACTTAAAATCTTCTTTGAAAAAACCCAAATAGCTAGAGTTTAGATATTAAGCATGAAATATCTTCTAGTAAGTGTCTACAAAGTTTGTTCAAATAAAAGCCCTGGCCCGGCCCCAGGGGTGTCATTGTTTTTAACTATAATTATGTGTATAGTAAAAATCTTCTTTTAAAAAGCCCAATGAGCTAGAGCTTAGATGTTTAGCATGAAACATCTTCTTATGGGTGTCTACCAAGTTTGTGCAAATAAAAGCCCTTGGGTTAAATTGGCCCTGCAACGTTGGGGGGTGGGGGTTGGGGGGGGCCTATATACAGGTGAGCGACCTCAGGGCCATCATGGCCCTCTTGTTTAATGTAGAAATAAGATAAGAAAAATTTCTTGAATTCTCATGTATGTATGTATTGGATGTGAGGGCATAGTAAGTTGTGACTGTTTGTTATTTTAGGATGCAAAATTTCTATTAGAATTATACATGAAATGAATGACCAATTGACTATTGACATTATTTGCTAGTCTGCTAAATTCATTGAACTTTGTGGCATTACAAGTAATTAATGATATTAAGTTCATTTTCACTTATTTTGAGGTACATAATTCTAAGAATATTCAATCATGTGACTTTCATCATATAGCTGGGGATATTATCAAGTCGACAAATTTGTTAGTTTTTCTTAGTTTTGTGTTTCTTTATTATTCAGTATTAAATTAATCAAGAATTCTGCATCCTGTGGCAGCTCTTGTTAATTGAAATCTTTTCATGTTTCCTCTAACAACTTTGCATTCAGGCATTTTGCCTGCCAGTATGTGATGTTCTTGTATGTACATATAATGTTAAGTGTGCCTTTGAATTATAATGCATTGAATATAACCTGGATGGATAGAAAAAAATTGTGAAAATATATATGTAAAAAAACTTGTAATGTGACATGATTTGTTATTTCTTTTATCAATTAATTTCATTGTATTATTTACATGTACTACAGCAGTAGCTATGTTTTAGAGCATGTTGTCTTTTATCAAAGATTGCAGGCTCAGCTCTACCAGTGTCATGCCAAAGACTTGTCTTAATCAGTAGGTCATGATTGGCCTAGATCACTAGTATGAAAAACTTTGCAAGAAAAGGCTAGAATATCTGAAATACATATGTCACTGGGTTACATGCAAGATGATCCATTGTCATTTTTTTACTCCACACATTTAATATAGCAGCAGTGCAAATTTGAGGATTGAAACTTGATATTTCAAAGGTCTTTCGCTTATCTTTAAAGGGACTCCACTGAGGTTTGTTGACACGACAGGACTGGAAATAATTTTTTGAGAATAATGTTCAATTTGATGTAGGCCTAGATAATGAGCACTATCTGTTTCTCCAGAAAATTATTCTAATGGTGAAAAATAACAGAAAGTTGAGAAGCATTGCAACTCCAATCAGGCTAAGAATTGCACAGAAAAACAATTTTGAATTTGTTTCCGAGTATATTTCTTAATTATCCTTTGCATATCTTTCTGTTTTAAGTGACCAGGCTGATCAATGTTAGTAATTCAAACCTTAGGTTTTTAGCCTTTTGGACCTCAGTAGATTTCTTATAAGATTACAGGTTAAAACACATACAAAGTATACTTAAGTCCATATCTGTTCAAGAAAGGTTTGTGTTTTTGAATTTTAGTGTATACTTTATGACTATCAAGTGACAGCATAGTCGAGTGGTTAACATGTCAGACTAGTAATGTAAGGATTGCTGACCGTTTGGGTTCAAACCCTGTCAGTGGTAGTCCATTGTTTCCTTGAGCAAGAAACTTTACATTCATTGCCGAGTAATGATTGGTTCCAGGAATGGACTTATGGTGGTTCAATAACCTTCTAGCCTCCATCACAGTTGAACTAAAATAAATTTGTATAAATTAAGGTACGGCCAATTATAACATTTGGGTTGTTTTTTATATACAGTTTACTACTGTAGTCAATAATTATAGAAAAATCGATTTAAAACTTCTTGGTGAAACTACATGATTAAAAGCATAGATTTCCGACATGTACCATCCCTTGTGGATCCTCTTATGGCCCTAGGGTAAAAAATAGTCCTGCCTTGATGCAACCAAATGACCTACTTCTCCATTAAAGAATTAAAACCTAGTGGATCTCAGGTGAGCAATGTAGACAGTTTCATGACCTCCTTATTACTGATAACAGACATCTTGTATTGACCTCCAACCATGAATTGGATTTAAGGTCAGATTTGAAACCATAAGGCATCTGCCCTTTGTTGGGTTTTGAGGTGGACAAAGTCACAATTGTTGAGGCTAAAAGAATGATTCTCTGCCTGACCTCATAATTTGGTAATATTTTTAACTGTTTCATAGAAACACCAGGACGCATGTGTTACTGATAAACATCTTGTCTTACTAATAACTCTTGTGTGTTAATATGTTTGAAGAGATTTACCACAGTAACAGATTTGGAGGAACACATACAGGTGATAAAATGATTTTTGGAAACAACAGGTAACTAACTCTGAACAAACTATCATAATTTATTGACAATAAGATTTCATTTTAAAAATCATTTCAACATTATAAAAATCATTATTATGAAAATGACAAGAGATATACAATCTAATGAACAAAGATGTATATACATATAATATGTCAGCACTTTTAAAATATCACTTAATATACTTTCATACCCTGTTCAAGACTTAAAAGCCAGACCAAAGTAAAAAAGATTCAATACAAATTAAAATAAAATACCTGTGACTGCATAAGTGTTGCATGGAGTAATGAATACTTGCATACCATGAAAACTTATATGTAACTGGAACAAAAGACGGTACAAAAATTGAAAAACTCTGATATGATTAAAAGAGACAGAAAAACTAAGAATTAAGAGCTGGAAACAAAAACTGTGTGACTTTAAGAAATAAAAAAGATACAACCATTTTGTGCAAGACCTTCATTAAACGTAATCTAGAAACTAATAGCATCCGGTAGAAAAAAAAAATCTTCTTTTTTTGTATGTGATAAAATGTTACCACTGTTCAAAAGAATATGGAGCAGAAATAAGAAAATATCCAGTAGATACACATGATATAGACGATATTGAATGAGTGTAGGATTAATATTAAATTTATTGAACAAGTTGAATAAAATTATATCATGCGAGCATAATATTATTTTTATTCAACAAGTTCAATAACTTTTGTAATGAACCTACACAAATATAATATTCTATTTATCACATACATAAAATAAGAACTTTGAACAGTAAAAAAGAATCATTTATCACTGATGCGCTTATAGTGCGCCTTTTAATGCTACTTTTGTATTGCGCAAGTGGCATCATGTTAAAATATATGCACATCCATGCCATATCATTTTTAAGGAGTCGCAAAAACAGCAAGGGTATCTGATACATATCATTATGCAATAATGACAAAACCTTCATGAGCAAATTTGGCAAAGGGCAATGAAAGACGGACTGTATCTCAAGAAGAAATAAATCTTTACTAAACTTAAATCAGTTTCACCAGAAGGTATGATTCCTGATTTGATATATTTCCAATAAAAGAGTGCTAGAAATAATTAGAGTGTGCAGATTGTGACAAAATTACATTAATCAAAGCACTGAAAGCACTAAAATTATGTACGAGTAGAAACTAAAAATTTCAAACAGTACACCAAAACCAAAACTTTATAACTGAAATTTAACAAGCATTCTAATAAATTTGCATCAAAACAGATTTAAAATTTCAACATAAATATTGCTTACACTATTCAAAACTTTTTACCATACATCAATGAATAATTAAATGTGATCATACAAAGTCAATATCTTATCTTCTTGCAGATACAGCTATTGTATCAATATATACAACTGTTTTTGTGAAGTGCATGATGAAACAAATATAACAAAAACAGTGGCCACTACCTTAAATCAACAACATATCATATCTGAAAGGAGATAATTTAGATACTAAGTTTGCATGTGTTTAATTCATTGAAATATGGAAGAATTGAAACAAATGTACATACAATAAAAATGTGCTGTTTATTATATCATGTGTTCTATTACTAGTATCATGAAGATTGCTTAAGAGTGTAACCTAGGCAAGTATAAAATTTAGGGAAATGAAAAATCTCAATTACAAAAATTCAAACGAAAAAAGTATAAAATTGCAATTAAGGGAAAATCTCAATTATAAAAACTCTTTGGCTTTTATTTCTTATAATATTCTTATTGTGAAAAAAATCAAAAAGATCATCTTATATTGTTGATATAAAACTGAGATACAAACGAAAACAAATGAGCAAACATATAGGGAATGATTGTACTTTGAATTTCCTGAAATGTAAACCTGCTAGAATATTTGTATTGGATTTCGTTGTAGACTTCACTTAAATATACACATGGGTAAGTAATTTAGCTTAATCTGAATCAACCATACATGTAGCCTTGAACATTTTCAAACAAAAGTTCTTATATATTCTTATTTCTGAATGCATATTTTAAATTAGTATCCTCAAACGAAACCTCTGCTTTTTACAAGTTCAACTAAGGCTGTTAGGCATACACGAGAAATCAATACCATATTGTAACAACATGAACATGTACTCTTCACAAACAGAATTTGGGTTACAAATAAATTGTCCAAAAAAAGTAAATACTTGAAAGTAAGTATTGTCACAGAAGATCAAAATAAACAAGAGCAGCTGGTAGATCTGCATGCTTGACTCTCAGTGCATGGATAATGTAGAATTTTCTAATTTCAAAAAGGTCCATAATTCTGTCAAAATCCATGTGAAGAGTTATTGGCCTTGGATAGTGACCTTCTATTATGCTCTAAAATAAGTATGTAATGTTTCAACTCAATTCCCTTCAGTAGTTCTGGAGATACCAACTTGCATGGCAAAACCTAAACCAGTGTGATGTTTACACCATGATGAGTATAATAGCTGTACATATTCTTCCAAAAGTCAGACTAAAATCAACCATAAAATTTTCCAGATACTCTTACTAATTGGCAAGATGTAATATTATTATTGATGTACTATTATGAAAATAATTTAAAAAATATCATTATTATATAAAGAATGATTAGAGAACAATCAAACAATATCTTAGTACTCACTAGCACATAATCTCTTAAACATTCATATAATTTTACAAACTTAACATATTCCTTGTCAACATATTACCGGTAGTTAACTATGTACAAATCATTACTGAACATGGAAAAAAAAACACATTGCATAGTTGAAAGGCATAGGTAATTAAAGAGCACTTTATCATGCATTTATTATACAAATAAACCATTAGCACATTTGTTCACTTCATACATCACAAGTAATTGATCGCACATCTGCAAAGATGATTTTACAAAATCGCTGGAACTTTTGTTTCATAGAGTATAGGCACTTCAAAACTCTTGTTATTGTATACAATTACAAATATGCCAAAAATGAAAGACCAAGAACTCTCCTCCTTATCTCAAATGAATATCAGTCATGAACACTAGCTATATACCTTACTGTCAGTTTCTTATTTTCTTGTAGTCTTATCAAGTGAGTGTTTGAGACAAATACAAAAATAAAAGTTATAAAAAATCTAAATATTAAACAATTTCCAGGTTATCGCCTCACAGACAAAAAAAATAATGTCACTGATTTATTTTTAGAGTATTGTACACATGTATGCATTTTATGCTAAAATTCCAGATACACAAAAACAGACGGGCTATAAACAAATTGAGCATATTTCTTCACGGCATCAGCACTTTCAAAATGTGTGGAAGTTGTTAAAAGTTTCCAGATAATATGTGCATACTGCATACATTACAAGCGCCTTATACAACTGATATGTGAACAACACTGGGCACTTTGTGAAATTTTTATCCTGATATTTTGAATTTAGAGCTGCCACTTAATATGCCTTGAAACCCTTTATAAATACAATTTAAATAGACAATGGTATAAATCTAATAACAGGTCATTTCATATAATCATCTATAGATCATTACATATTTTCACCAAATATATTGTTCCATATAGTCTATCAATTCATACAATCTATCAATATATCAATTCAAATAATCTATCAATAGATCATTTTATATAATCTATCAATAAACTATTTCATAAAATCTATCAATATATCAATTCATACAATATATCAATTCATATAATCTATCAACAGACCATTTCATATAATCTATCAATAGATCATTTCATATAATCCATCAATAGACCATTTCATATAATCTATCAACAGACCATTCAACACACCATTTCATATAATCTATCAACAGACCATTCCATATAATCTATCAACGGACCATTTCATATCATCCATCAATAGACCACTCAATATAATCTATCAAAAGACCATTTCATTTAGACTACAACTTGATGATTACATATAACATGTTAATAGACTGGTACACATATTCTAAAAACAGTCAATGAATTTGAGATTTTGAATTTACTAGCCCAAATTCCAGTTTAGAATTATAAATTTTTTTAAATTTACACAAGCCCAAACTAATTTAAACTGGCCATGGGCCACCAGGTCAGTACTAAATTCGATGACTGTATAAATATAAAAATCTATTATTAGATTGGAACATATAATTTTATCAATAGATCATTTCACAGATTCTATGAATAGACCAAATCATTTATATCAACCTAATATAAAGTCTATCAATAGGTCAGAGAAAAAACCTTCTGTTAAGAATAGATCAGAGATAAGTCCAGCAGTAACATATAGGCCATTATTGAAAAACCAGAATGTCACAGTAACAAATTATTTTATGTCTGAAGGGGATAAAAATAAAATTTCAATGATAAAATATAACTCTGTCTCAAAAGACTGTATATTTTGGCCTTCAATTCACTACCTATCACAGCAACAGTTTTACAAAACATGCATATAATTATATGCAAATACATGTATGTAAAATCAACAAAGTTTTCATTGGCCCTACATTAAAATGTCATTCCTGCTCAATAGTTTACGCAATTGTATTTATAACTTGCATAAATAGGCTTAAAACATATCCCAGATAGGTAACATGACAATAAAATTATGCAGTATGATGCAGTCTGGTCCAAAAGCTTGGCATCATTTACACATGACAACTTTATATGGATCTGTTTGTTGTATGAAGTAGGCCTAGCAACTTGTTTGACTGTCTGTACCCATGTAAAATGCCCAATGATATGAACATAAGAGACCCAGTGGATTATATCATTAATCCAAGAATGTGTCACTTTGGTATAAGATGTGAGAATGAACCTCTGTCTGATCCTGCAAACACTACACCACTACATCATCAGTCTGTTGAGCAGTTTTTACTTTCCTGAGTTATGTAGGTAATATACTAGACCTAGCGTTGCCACGGCGCCCACTGCTATCCCTGTCAATACTTGCCAGCCTACTGATGGCACATACGTTAATGCTGATTGCTGAAATATAAACATTCATTATAACATTAACAAAGCCATGCAGCTGTCCATGTTCTATTCTCAAACTCACATCTCAGGCATTTGATTAATCAAGAAAGTAGAACAGAATTTGCGCTCCAGAGATTTGAGAAAAACTCAGAAAAAGTTTTACAACCCTTTCGACAACAAAATTTCATTTATATTTTATGACATGATAAGTTCATGGGCTGTATATTGTTAGAAAATGGCATGCCAACAAGTTCCCAATAATGGTAAATATAGACTTTTTCTTATATATCTTATCAGTTGTTTTAAATGTACAAGTTACAATTATTAAGTTTCCAAAATGCTATATATGAAATGAAAATGCTTTTGCTAAGATTTCTGGCAATGCAAACTCAAATTTGTTTGTACATTTTTTTAAAGGCCTATTAAATACATGTATCCATGAACGGCTAGAAAATAAAATTGATTTGTCAAAATATTTTTGTGATTAAACAAATTTAAGAGTAAATATCAACTTACCCAGCCTCCCTGACTAGCAATCCATCTAGCTATCCCTTGTGAAGCATCTTTGATAAAATTCACAATATTTGACACAATTCTACCTAACACTTTGCCAAAGTCTTTGATAAGTTCACCAATTCCAATCACTCGCACAAATATCCTATATCCAAATGAAAACAGTGTTGCTATCCTACCCCAGTTTAATCCACCTTCCATCAGCCTAAATGAAACAGAAACAGTTTTAATTTTCTAAAATATTTCTCCAATGAAACTGAATGAATAAATGAATGAATAAGGTTTATTTTCACTGAATCATCACTGAAACATCAACAGAAATAGCTCTGAAAAAGCAGTATAACTAAGAGTTAAATGTCACAAGACTCCAGATGGATTCAGAGAGGAATTTATAAGTGTTGCAGCAGCCTGAAACATGACTAAGCTATTGATATAGCTTATTAATGTCAGCAAAGTTCTTGCTAAAGATAGCTACAATGTATCAAAAGTTATGCCTGACCTATGCCACTAAGCTAGACCAGTCTCTACCCTTTATACTACTGACCACTAAATTCTAACATCAAAACTTAAGTATTAATATTCATGAACATTCAAATATTCAAAACATGGCATGTTTATTATTTACCCTGCTGGTGGCAACCGATATTGTCCATGCAACCAGTGAACCAATATAGTCTACACTGTCTGCTATTCAGACAGTACATATTTTAAAATTTTCCCTTAAAATTATAAATGGTTTTGTCTGGATTGAATGATGGGCAAGTCCATTTAAGATATTTAGTATCATAAGCGTTAATACACAAATTCAGCAGAGTAAATGTTACACAAAACAACATTCATTTAAATTTAAATTTCCAAACATTAAAATAACGAGACTTGTTACCTTCTAGCTACCCCTGCAAATGCATCATATGCTGTGGATTTGTCAACCTGTAATTTATCAATCATATGGTCAAATTCTCCCTGATATTTCATATTGATGTCATCCCCAATCTTTGCCAACCGACGACCAACTTGAGCTGAGGCACTAGAAATATAAAACATATAAATTTATTTTCTACTTAAGTCTTTCAGCTTAAATTTTAACTGAAACTTACCTATACAACATTTTTAAGTAATAAATCTGATTTGAGTTATAAGAAACTTAAAAACTTTAATATCATTCATTTCTAATAAATTATATTGCACTAAAACATTTCTCATTAAAAGAACACTTTAACTGAGATGAAACACTTCAAATTTACCTCCATGTTGTGCAGTCTAGTCCCATTCAAATCTAAAGAGCTTCTGATTTGCTTATACAATCAATTTTTAATTCAAATTCATTGATGTCAGAAATAAGTATTATTGAAATCTTAATGACAGTCTTAATTATATCTGAACAGATGAAATAATTTTCTCATAATGAGATATTACATAAATCATTCATCATTTAAATATGGCATAACAAATAAAGAAATAAATGGCGACTTAATTCCAATCTACTGAATCTACTTCTTTATTCCCATCAATTAGTCTATGATAGCAAAAATGACATAGAAAAGTTTGAACTAAAGCCAGCATTTGCAACCATAACTAAGTCTAGCATTAAGTACGTAAATATTGACAAGCATTGTAGAATAGTAATCATGCAATCTAGTGCACTTGATGACCTTTTGGCGGGATATGATTTCTGCATCAACATGTGATATTCTATCCCTGCCTAGTGCAACAGTCCTCATTAAAGTAACACTTTATTACATGACTATTGCCTCAAGGTAAAAGTGAATAATATGCCTGGGAAAATTCTAAGTAATCTTCAGCAAAATGGGAAATTGTTTATGCAGACAATCCTCTGGTACTACTAATTGTTTATCTGTTTGGTTTTTTTCCTTCTTCAAATAAATGAAGCACAATAAATACATCTTATTAATTTTTGATAATTTTCTTTACATCCATTCCAAACAAAATGATCCATTAGAGTTAAAGGAAAGATAAGTTTAAGATAAAATTATTTGATAACTCATTCCTGCAAGGGATTTTCACAATTGTTTTCATGACAAGGGTGACTTTTTTCCTAAAATCCAAAAATTATCATATTTGAACTGACAATAGACATAATATCATATTATTAACATGAATTTTATTACAATCAATTTTAGTTGTGTTATATCTAGAAGAAACTTTAGTTCATAGTGGTATAAGAAAGTGCTCAGAATTTCAGTATTGACTGCTACATAAGTTTGGAAGCAGACAGTCTTGTTTTAATGTTTAAGTTCTATATCTATTTATAGCCTTCTTTATTAACTGGATCACCTTTGGTAATTTCAACATCTCTTATATAATACAAGGAAAATAGTAAGTGACAAAACAATTTGTTGCACATGTTTGTACTGATCTTTTTGTACTGACCCTTGCTAATTTTTATGAGAATTTTTTTTCTATCAAATCAATATTATTCTCATGGTTACTGTTGGAATAAAGCTTCAATCACCCCATGCATTATTTCAGGCAAAAGAAAGCACATATGAGCCGCATCACGACAAAACCAACATAGTGCATTTGCGACCAGCATGGATCCAGACCAGCCTGCGCATCCATGCAGTCTGATCTGGATCCATGCTGTTCGCTATCAGTTTCTCTACTTGTAATAGGGTTTGTAAGCAAACAGCATGGATCCTGATCAGACTGCGCGGATGCGCAGGCTGGTCTGGATCCATGCTGGTCGCAAACACACTATGTTGGTTTTGTCTCATATGTAAAACAACCAACTGTCCATATTAGCTAACTAAATGAAAGAATCAAAAGTCCCTGGCGAAGAGGTACAAATGATTTGATGTCAATAACATTAATATTTCAAAAAACAAATATCAACTATAAACATTGCACTTAAAACATGGCAAGTTGTTTGTTTTTTTTTATACAGCTGAGCCTGACAAACATGTACATGTACTTTAAGTTGGTGAAAAAAATAATGCCATACAATTCAATTGGTACACTTATTCACTAGTGATGCATAAAATTCCCCTAATCTGTCATTCACATTCACTAATATGTCCCCAATAAAAGTCTCATAAAATGCACTTGAAGGTTTGTTTGTAAACATTCAATGAGTCAGAAAGATGTACTTAATGAACCCAAAGCCACAAAATAAGGCATGATTAAACTACCTTATCTACTTTATTATAACCAATACAATGTATTTTAGGTAAGATTTATAAATACCATGCTTTGTCAGATTTCAAATCTTTAAAATAGAAAATTTATATTTAAATTTTAAAACCAAACACTTGGTGACCTGTCAATAAAACATTGGCATGAACATGACAATGTAAAAATTTAAACAGTCACTAATCATTACTTAACTATGTACAATATCCTATCATACCTCAAGTATTTAACTACTATACTCAAGTTGATCATATTGTCAATTACAATAGCTCTATTTAACCTAACATTACTGAAATGTACAATGTCCTGCACTGCATTTGGAACTGTCCATTGATAAATAAGGAATTTTAATAACTAAATACCCTAAATGCCTATGTCCTTTAGTTTAGGGTTTTTGTTGTTATTGTTTCTTCTTTTTCTTTTTGCTTTATGGCACACCAACACAGTTTAAATCATTAAGGGCCAAAACAGGAAAGATGACTTTGGCTAACCTTGGGCTGATACAAACTTTAAGCAATACCAGGGCTCAAAACCATGTCACCTACTGGAGCTAAGAGATGCAAAGACTCCAGTAATTCAATCCCATTTAGTCACCTCTTATGATCACACAGGGTTAAACAGTGGCTGCAATTCTGAAGCCTCACTCTGTATAGGCAACCCCTCAGCCACAAGGTTTTTTTCTAGGAGTTTTGTAGACTCTGTACTGCTGATGGCTAAATTTGTGTATTATGATATTTAAATCCCTTAAACTTTAAATACACATAGTCTTAATTAAAAGAAGTGTGCAAAACCATTACACAACTTCAGCAGGTTAAAGGTTAAGTAGTCAGAATACTGCATAAACTGTTTTCTCCCTCCCTTTCACCTCTCCTCTCATAAATTAATGGGCTTCTTGATGGCTTTATTATCAGCTTAACTCAAGTGGTGAAATATGCTCATATCACTACTGAATAAACTTCCTAATTAAGATTAATTGAAGTGCATTATAAAGGAGATAACATACTTTAACTATTCATCAGCACACTAAAATAGAAATATTCTTTGTCCATGACTACTGCTTTAACCCATTACTTCATATACACGCCTTTTAACGCCTTTTTCACCCCCCCTTTTTTGTTGTCTCAAATGATGAAAAAATGCCTTATTTAGGCCCCAAACACTTGTTTTTGTTTGAGAAATGTTGTTAAAAAAAGTGACCTCTTTTTCGGCGCGGCCCCCCAACCAAAAGATACATCAGGGGGTTGCCAGAAGGGGGATGTGCCCCCTTCTGTTTGGGGGGTTTGAAGGGGGGCGGAGTCCCCCTCATCGCCAAGAAAAATTTTGGACTTGGGAGAGGCTGTAAATGACCCCAGATTGATCATAAGGTAACGTGTAACCAACGCTGAAAAGCATTTGACTCTATCTCAATCCATTGAGAAAGTGCAGCACTTTGAAATCAATTTTGATGGAAAAAATCAACGCAAAATAGTGATTTTTGGCAATTTTGAGATGTCCCCTCGTTGCCATGGTAACAGAAAATTTAAGCCTGAGCATGTTGTTGCAAGTGCAATGGTCCAGTCAACATTTGTGCCAAGTTTGATTAGTGTTAAAGCAGTTTTTATAGTATTATAGCAATTTGAACTTGTAACGGGAGACTTTTCAATGAAAACAGCCATTTTTCACAAAATGCTCATGAAGTAATGGGTTAACATAAAAAAGCAAGTCATATTGATATTTTTAAGCTTGGTTTAAACATATTCAACATAACATTTTAACATGTGAACAATATTTACAAAATACATTTTGGGATTGGACAGAAAGCTATAAAGCTTGTAAGTGTCCTTTTTAAAGAAGAACCAATGTTCATCTTTGTTCAACCTGTACATTTTCTGAGATTGTCAATTATCTGGTTGGAAAGAACAATGTTTCATTTTGAGTTTTAAAACATCTTTTATATTCTTTAACATTTAAAAAAAAAACTTTTATATATGACATTGACTCATAAACCTTTTTTTGAAAATAAGAAATTTCAGAAATTCCTCAAATTGAAAATACACAAAAATTCTGTTTAAAAATAATTCCATGGAAACATCAATGCTTAACATTTCTGCAATAATTTTGAAATTTGGCTTAAAATCCCTTATGTTTGGAATATTATGCCCATGTTTTTTAAACAAAAAGGCAAAATAAGAAAATGGTTAATTATTTAACCAGTTTTTTTGTGAAAATATCTTATTTTTTCTCTCTGACAAAGTTATTTTGCTTCCTTTACTTTACATGACAATTATTTAATCTTTTTTATGTTCAGACATGTACACTATGTTGCTTTCATTCCTTGAAGACAATAAAAAGTTACAGAACTTTTTTTTTCTAATATTTTTGCTTATATAGTATGATGGATAATCAAAGAACAATTAGCAATTTATACAAGTAATGGTAAATAATTCTAAAGCTGAAGTGAAGAAAATGCAGTAGACAAGTATATAACTAAATGTACTTGCTCATTTAAGTGAGAGAAAAAAATACGCATAATATTACATAATCCAGTTTATCATTCATGAGAGGTTACACCCCTCCTAACAAAATACAATACACCAGTGCAGTCCAACCTGGTTCTACCAGTGTTGTCAAAAAAAAATAAAATATGTAGACCTTCCAATGGACTTTTAATGACATGTACAAATGCAATTTAATAACTACTTTTAGATAAAAGAAACACTACTTGATACACTTTGAAAATTTTATCACTTTAACATTTACCAAAACTTTTCTTTATAAGTTTAAAAGTGTCATGTAAAACACATCCAAGGGCAGGTCTACATTGCCATTGATATGATGATGTTGCTTGTGTTAAGGCATCTGACAAGTTACAAGTAAAGTCTTCCTATTTTAAGGACAACCTTCTTGTACTGTCTTTAGCTCAATTTTTGTATTGACTCACCTAAAAACACAGAGCATTTGCAAATAATAACTATTGAAGCAAAATAGAATAAAGAGTACACACCTTAGAGGATTATTTGTGAAATTTGTAAGTTGTGGAACATTTGGTGTTCCCTGGTCCATGAACTCTCCTCTGTTACAGTCCCTCGTCCAACTTTCATATATAAAATTCTGAAAGACATCTTCTGTCTGATCTATCACATTTTGTTCTGACACAAACTGTTGCTCTGGACTAGGAATCTACAAATATAAACATATGTCAAATTTTTCACTGTCTTTCCTTAAATAAATTGATCATAAATGAAAGCAGAAAAACATAAAATAGTATTTTGCTTAAAATGGTTCTTTATTACATGCGGGTGCTTTCTTGCTACATGTTTTTTGAAAGTCTGGTTGTTTTGAAAGTCACACCATCCCTGTTAAGATCATATTGTGAATTTCCAGCCATACTGGAGGAATACATCAGGTTTATCTTATGTTTTTATCTCAGGCAGAAGTGAAATCTATGAAGAACCATCAACCTTTTGTAAGCAAACAGGACGAACTCCTCATAAGACAGAAGTCTCTTACAGATTTTTGAGGGAAATTACTCAACACAAGCAACTGGCATACAAATAGATGATGGTGATAAACAGAAAGTCCCATTTTCAAAACAATATCTCAAAGGACTCAGTGAAAAATTGAGAAAGTACGAAAAATATAACCAAATCAGGGCTCATCCTGGGGGGAAATTTTAGGGAGAAGTGACGACCTCGCGAAAATTAGGGAGAAGGGAAACAACCCAATGTGTATGCATTAACATGCATGGCTATACATCCTTTAATTATAATATAAACACAATTAACATCACCTATAATATTTCTCCAGTTTATTAATTAAATGTAGATTAATTAATAGTAGTATTAATTAAAAGTAGATTAATTATTTAGTAGTAGATCTGGCAATGGCATCTAAATGTTTTTGAGCTGCAAATATGAATATAAAAAATTATTTTTGATATCTATTGATCAGCTATTTAAAGGCTTTCTCTAAATATGTGTTTATATATTTTCATGTACATTAATTTTGTTGATAATAATGTGTAAGAAAAGATATGATGATAAAATCAATTTCATATTTTCTACTTTACTTTCCTCACCTTTCAAAGAATTGGATATTGATTATTAATATCTGTTCAATTCTGTTCTGGTGACAGAAATTTCTTTCAAAGTCTTGTATGTTGTAATGTCACATTTATATGCATATAATTATGCTTATAAAACAATTTTCAAACATCAAAGAATATGTAAAATATGTACTGCAAACATTTGTGCACATTATATTTGATCACTAAAATTACATAGAGGTCTACATTCATTTCTTATTGAAAAATTTGACTGAGAAATTGTAGAAAATTAATTTCTAATTACCTCCCTTTATTTTCATGAAATGTTAAATTCGGTAATACTTTTATAAATAATGCTTTTTAAAATTTACAATATTGATAAATCTTAATCTGAGCGTCATATTTACGACATTAAAACAAATATATATATATTGAAACAATAAGAACACTTCTTTCATGACAAATTTTGTTGTTATATACATGTACACGTTACATGATGATATACCACTGATATGTAGTTTAGCCGGGATGTCTTGCCCACGGGCTAAACTGTGTCAAATTTGGCATTTCTACAAAGAGAACAATGCCAAACACCCCCACTGTCTACAACATACCAATCGCAAGATTTTTGAGAATTGGCTTTCTTAAATTTTCGCGTAGGTGTACTGTAGTAACTTTCTTACAGCTCGGTTTCGCCTTGTAGCCATGACGTGAGCGACGTAACAAATTTACAGTTAAAATTGATGTTAACAGACTGAAATCATTCAAAACTAAGATTAAGTTTTTAATCCGGTGAAATTGATTATTTTTAATTGACTAACAGTTTTGTGATAGCCGTGAAAAATCCATTGCACATCGCCTTTATTCGGGTTAAAAACCCACCATCGAAGTGCATCGTGTATATCAATTAGGGAAGATTGCACGTGTTTAGATAATCGGTGAAAAAACAATGTATAATTATTGCAAAATCCCGTATTCAACACACAATTATACCGTTTCGGGCCGATGCTCTCATTATTTAATGTTTAGAGTAGGCGGTCTATCGCTTCGCTTACAGGTAGAAGGGTAGTATAAAGCGACGCTCTGATTGGATAATGATAATTAGCGGTCGTCATATGGGCGGATACAACCTCTGCTCTTTACATCGCTAAGTAATTACTATTTGGGAATTAAGATTTTATCGGCGATGTTGACTTCTCTTTGATCAATCGGAAGAGCGAAATTGGAATATACACGGCGAAGTTTTCGCCTGAATCGCCCTTCCGGATGAGCCCTGCAAATAAGTTGTGATGTACATGCACAGTCTCAGTAACAACTCTGTATATATACCAGATAGATCATACTTGTAAGTGAATGAGAACATTGTTTAATAGCTACCAGCCTACCTGTTTCTGAGCTGATGGTCCAGCCCTGTGTGGAATATCACCTCCTCCATTGTTGGAGGCCATCTCTTTAATTAAAGCCTTCTCTATGAGGTTAAGTATTTAGGCTACACAATATACTCTACATCAGTCAAATCTGAAAAAGATGTTTAAATAACTTGTTTACATTATACATTGTGTAACTCAGTTAATATAGGGAAGTCACAGAGACCATGAAATTTAAGTTTTTGTATGAAACATTCAAGATGTTAAAAAAATTTTATGACAATTGCGGTATGAATCAAAGAAATAATTATTTTTCCTCAAATTTAATTCTGATTACTTAAATAGATTAAAGAATGATAAAAAAATATTTTATCATAACAACAACTTATTGATTGAATAAAGAAGTATCAAAATTATCATGTTAAAATCAATATATTATCCAATCAAAACTGATTCCTGTTTGAAAACTCAATGATTCAATCTCTTGAATTTAAACTCTACAATTTTAATAAAACCATGATTTGAAAGAAAAAATGAATTAAGTGACAGTTTAACTAAATTAATGTCAGTACTGATAAAAATGCCACAAATATTTCCTAAATAATTTTTTTAACCGATTGTCATTTAGGAACATGTCTAGTATTGTGGATCAAAGAGATGAACATCACTTCCCACATCACTACTATTTCACACATTTATTTCTTAAATAAGGAAAGCACCTAGCAACAGAATAAGAGCATAGTAACAGAAACCTGAAACCTATGTATACTTGATTATTTCTAGGGTCCACTAAACTAGATTCTCCTCATCATTTACTGAATTTAAATCCCACTGTTCAAAAAAGATGAATAATACTAAAGCAATATATTAATAGTGACTTGGTGTGAAATTGTTAAGTCAAATGTCTTCAAGAGGTTTCACACCCACTTTAGGAATGAAACATCTATTTGTGTGAACAGACCATATTGATAATGAAACTTTGGAACCCAAAACTTCTGCCACCCCTTGGACTCAATTTCTATTATCTTTTGAAGCACGTCGTGAATCAGTTTTTTAGAATTACATTCGGAATCCCTTCCTTATTACCATTAATCCAAATAAAAAGTTTCGCAAAAGAACTTTTCCCAAAATGGGACTCTTAGTGCATCATGATCTACTGATGAATAAATCATAAATTAGTAAATTTTGACTGATTCACTTAATTTATATTGTACTATTTTTGATAAATTACAGTCAAAATTATTACATTTATACAATTAACAACTTCTGGTAGGTGGCCATTTCGCAAAATGGAATTATTAATCCCTAAATTTGATTTTAATTAAGTGAATTTATGTTCTCCGACAGATGGATTCAATTTAGATATCATATAAGACATAAAATGACTGTAATTTGAAAGTAAAAATTTAGAGTGTTGAGTAAATAGTGCGGACGAAAGTGTGCAGCTCTAAGTGAATAGTCTGTAGTGACGTACTTGCCAATGGGTTCAATAAATACGGTTATAATAGTGAAATGTATTACAAATTCTGTCAAAGAGCTCACTTTGAGGCTTTGTCTTATTCATATTAGACATATAAAACTGACATAATTATATAAATGTCTGAGACTCTGAGCTTTACTACATCTAGCTGATTCAAGTGATTAGTGAATTTCTCGTCAAGTTGATTACAAACACATCATTTATAGTTAGATAGTTGTCCCATATCTGTTCATATACCATTATGCCTAATTTTAACTGTCATTTTTACGCACAGAAAATCTGCAGGTAATACTATCGATACTTTGGACTAATTTTTACTGCTTAACTTCAACTTTCAAGGTCTTCTAAAAATCAATAGATTATAAATTCTAGTACAAATTTCTCTCCCCAAAAATTAAACTGTCCCTGTCTAAACCAGGGCTCATCCTGGGGGGAAATTTTAGGGAGAAGTGACGACCTCGCGAAAATTAGGGAGAAGGGTATTGGCTATACATCCTTTAATTATAATATAAACACAATTAACATCACTTATAATATTTCTCCAGTTTATTAATTAATAGTAGATTAATTCATGGTAGTATAAATTTAAAAGTAGATTAATTATTTAGTAGTAGATCTGGCAATGGCATCTAAATGTTTTTGAGCTGCAAATATGAACATAAAAAATTATTTTTGATATCTATTGATCAGCTATTTATAAGCTTTCTCTAAATATGTGTTTATATATTTTCATGTACATTTGTTGATAATAATGTGTAAGATTAGATATGATGATAAAATCAATTTCATATTTTTTACTTTTAATACTTTCCTCACCTTTAAAAGAAGATGAAGTCACATTGGATATTGACTAATAATATCTGTTCTATTCTGTTCTGGTAACAGAAATTTCTTACAATGTATACAATGTTGCAATGTCACCATTATATGCATATAATTATGCTTATAAAACAATTTTCAAACATCAAAGAATATGTAAAATATGTACTGCAAACATTTGTGCACATTATATTTGATCACTAAAATTACATACATTCATTTCTTATTGAAAAATTTGACTGAGAAATTGTAGAAAATTAATTTCTAATTACCTCCCTTTATTTTCATGAAATGTTAAATTCGGTAATATCTTTATAAATAATGCTTTTTTAAATTTACAATATTGATAAATCTTAATCTGAGCGTCATATTTACCACATTAAAACAAATATATATATTGAAACAATAAGAACACTTCTTTCCTGACAAATTTTGTTGTCATGATATACGACCGATATGTAGTTTAGCCGGGATGTCTTACCCACGTGCGTAAACTGTGTCAAATTTTGCATTTTTACAAAGAGAACAATGTCAAACACCCCCACTGTCTACAACATACCATTCGCAAGATTTTTGCGAATTCGGCTTTCTTAAATTTTTGCGTAGGTGTAGCTATCAGAATCAGTAACTTTCTTACTGCTCGGTTTCGGCATTTCGCCTTGTAGCCATGACGTGAGCGACATAACAATTTATGAAATCATTCAAAACTATGATTAAGTTTTTAATCCGGTCGCTGATCATTAATAAAATTGATTATTTTTAATTGACTAAGAGTTTTGTGATAGCCGTGAAAAATCCATTGCACATCGCCTTTACTCGGGTTAAAAACCCACCATCGAAGTGCATCGTGTATATCAATTAGGGAAGATTGCACGTGTTTAGATAATTGGGGAAAAAACAATGTATATAATTATCGCCTAATCCCGTATTAAACTCGCAAAACTATATACCGTTTCGGGCCGATGCTCTCATTATTTACTGTTTAGAGTAGGCGGTCTATCGCTTCGCTTACAGGTAGAAGGGTAGTATAAAGCGACGCTCTGATTGGATAATGACAATTAGCGGTCGTCATATGGGCGGATACAATCTCTGCTCTTTACATCGCTAAGTAATTACTATGTGGGAATTAAGATTTTATCGGCGATGTTGACTTCTCTTTGATTAGTCGGGAGAGCGAAATTGGAATATACACGGCGAAGTTTTCGCCTGAATCGCCCTTCCGGATGAGCCCTGTAAACGCATACATACATTTATTGAAATTTGTACTGCCTACAATATCTTCGGCAGACATGTTATGACGTTGTCGTAAAATAATCAAATCTGTGAAAGCTGGTAGTAGCTATCAGTGTGTCTAGCAGATATGGGTGGGTTGTGCATGAAGATTAAATTTTTTTAAAAATATCGGCGAAATAAATTTATGCATTATTTTTTAATAAAATTTGTGTATTACTAAATACTATTGAAAAGTACCAATGTGTTTAACCTAAAATGCAATTGCTGCAAATAGTCTCTGTACAAGTACTGTTGTTTAGTAAAAAATGTTTTGACACCATACAGTACTGGTAAGTGCAAGTGCTCCCTTAGTGCGCTGGTTTAAATAGAATTCATCACTTAAACATAATAATGTTGAAATTTTGAATTTAACAGCCACAGATGCCGTAAAATTATGGCGGTAATCATGGAACTTTCAATGTGACACATTTGGGGTACCATTTAATGAAAAGCGGCAATACAATTTTAAACGGGTATCAGAGGTTTTGATGTTGTTTTGTGAAGTCGTTCTAACAGACGACTACAGTCATCATTATATCAAACTATTTCTCTCACCTTTGACAGATCATAACTCAGTCAGTCAGTGAATGTAGTATAAATGATAAAATTTCTTCGATAGATAATTGTTATTATGATAATTTAAGTATTTTTTAAAAAAGATTTCTCTATTTTCCAATTGAGAATTCAATCTATTGACATCGCATTAAAATTTAACATTTATTTATTTAAGTCTGTCATTTAAATTCACACCAATAACAATTTAACAAATAAAATTTAATATTTAAGCTTGGCAAATACAGCAGAATGTCACGGATACCTGTCTTACACCGTGAAAATTTAACTGATGATCAAGTGGGAGATTTTACTTCAAAAAGAGGGAGATTTTAGAATTTGCAAAAAACAAAGAAGTTCTGACATCAAAAATAGGAGATTTCTTTAATTCATACACCGCCTATGTCATTCCTTCTATTTCCAATATGTCTGCTTACACAAGAGTTTCAACAATTAAAAAAAAAAGTGGAATATTTTATCTTCTGTTTGACTTTGAAGTATGATAATTTGGAACTTTGTATAAAAACCGTATCTCTTTCAGGTAATGAAGGCTGTTTCTTCTTAACTTTTCTAGTTTTCGCTCCCAACAACTTCTAATTGGCAAGCATCCGTGTAGAAAAATGCAGTGGTTGGACTTATTCGCCAGTCCAAAATTATATTGATGTCTGTTTGGCAAGTCTAGATAGTTGGACTAAGCATTCGGCTTGTAACTTTTGGCTATATCCTGGAATAGACCCGGGGTCTAAACCAGGAGTATTTATAAGGGTCATTCCGTTTTCTTTAAAAAAAAAAAATAATAATAATAAAAAAATCTTTAGCAGTTTCAAAAAAAAAATTATCCAGGAGATTGACATAATTTTTTTTTCACATTTAACAAACGAATCAGTAAATGATTCTTAAGTTTAATCTCTAAAAACTTAGTTATGTTTCTAAACAACAAAATAACTTACTTTTAAAATCAATCTCTTTCTCTTTTTATATATATCAACGGAATGAGTAAGTTTTTTTTAACAATAACTTTCAACAACAATTTTGCAGGAAGTGAAGTAAGCTACTGTATGGCCCGGTCTAAACACGAACGATAAACGTAAGAGTCATCTTGAGATTTTTGTGAAACTTTGTAACTGGATGGATGTTTATAATTAAGCCGTTCTTTTTATAATTCACAGGTATTATTTTAAAATCAATATAACAAAAAGGTATCTTGCTTTTCACTTCTTCTATAAAACATGATTTCAGGTGAGCATATAATTCTTACATGTTTATGTCCCCGCCAGGTGTTTTAATGGAAGATAAAGTTAGACATTTTTGCAGACGACAGAAATGTGTATAATTATCCTCCTCTCATTCCTACAGCTTACAACAGCTTGATGCACACGAATCAAAACATGACTTGAAATACAATACAATTCTTGAAAACATCAGTTCATTCAAATTACAAGACGAAAAAAACTCAAATAGCTCAACTTACACACGATCAGATCTTTATTTCATCTGCATGTGGGAGTATCTAAAAATTTATTGAAATAATCAATTAGCCTAGATTGACAACATTTTTAAACCGACATTTTTAAACAAGGGCCACCGCTGGACTGGGGCAGAGTCTTTCAAATATTTGAAAGACCCTGGCGGGGGCAACCCTTACTTTCTAAAAGCAAACAAATATAAAAAAGATTTAAACAAATCTTTCAAAAGAAAGTTAAAGAAAAACAATAAGTTTTTCCTTTTTTATTTTAATAGGTCTGTATGTCAAGTCACAATTGTTGTTTTGTCCAAGTATAAATTATCTCCATAAATACAATGTAAATGACAAAGTTAAGAAAATGTAAGCAAAATTCAATCATCTGAACATTTAAAGGTCAAGGTCAAAATTATTCAATTATTCAATATTGTTTTGTCCATGTATATATATAAAAAATATGACAATAAATTTCACCAAAATGAAATAATTTGATCTTGATTGTCAAGGTCATTTAAAGGTCAAGGTCAGTTCAACCTTTTACAAGGTTCAAAAGGTTGCTTTGTCCAAGTATGAAGATAATCCATTAATTTCATTAATTACCAAGTTAGTCAATATAGCAAAATTCAGTAAAAATTCAATAACTTAATTAACTTACAAGGTTAAGATCATGAATGGCTCAAGGTCAATTTGAGTATGACTTAGTCATGAAGGTGTTATCCTAAACATTGTTGTGTCTTAATATGAAGTTGTCCCTTCATTTAAATAAAAAATGTTGTAACCAGTTTCTGCAAAAAAGGAGAAAATTTCAATAATTTGATCTTTATGGTCATTTAGTCAAAGTCTGTCTGGTATATTTGAAGGTCTATCCTAAAAGATGGTTTAAGTTTGAAGACAAATATATTCAAAAATAAGAAAGTTATAGCCACTAATAGTAAAATTTGAGCAATTTAAAGGTCCTTTATGAATATAGGTTAAGTTTAGTCTGGTCTACTTGAAGGTCTTGTCTCAAGGGTTGTTGTGGCCAAGTATGATGACAATACACCAAGAACTTAAAAAGTTATGATCAAGGTTAAAGTTTGGGGACTGCAAAGGCATGAATGTTACAATACCTCTCTTTTTTCTTTGGAAAAAAGACGAAATTAAAAAGGAATAAAATGCTAGGTTTTTTGAAACACAACATTAAACATGGCACTTGTGGATCCACAGCTTCAGTATAGATCCAGTGTCTGGTCACCATACACTAACTGGAGCTCTGAACGCCTATATTGTGTCCTTGCAGCACATTGTGCTGCCAGCTGGGTAAAATGTGACTACATCAAGCATCATGTATTGATCAATGAAGATATTCTTGAATATCAAAAGAGACATAGATATTCTTTTAGCCAATTATCTTAAACCTGTAACTGGCCCAACATTTTTATTTCAATACAACAAATCCATGCAACTGTCAACAACATATCATTCTTCACAAAGACAGATGTTTACCACTGGAATGCCTTGCCCCCAGAAATTGTCATATGTACAAGCAGAGCATATATTGCAACTCAGACAAGAAAATCTAAAAGAGAACTGCATGTCACTGACATTTTATCAACATTTTAGTTGATTTTTCAAGTTGTATCACCTTGACTTCAAGCTTGCTCAGGTACAGTCATATTTTCAAACTGTCTTTCAAATGTCATATTGACCTTAACTACAGTCTAAACATGTTTGTTACTCTAATTTGTGGTCTCGTCAAGAGTAAAAAGGAATGAGCTTGCATGAATATTAAAAACTAATACATTTCTGACCAATTTCCAGGATATTTGGATCTAAACAGTAGCCCTAGAATGTTAACAAGATATTTCCATATTTGGGCTGTGTGACCTAGTATCTAAACCCAAGTGACCCATATTCAAACTTGATCTAGAAATCATCATAACAACAACCATTTTCCAGGAATTCAAGTGAATACCTTCAGTAGTTTTACAGACTGATTAAAATTAAAATTCTTTAGGTAAGTTTAAACTTTATTTATTCAATAAATTGTACATGGACATTTACAAACATTGCACAACAATGTAATTCAGACTGGATTGGAAAACAAGTAAAACAATACTTACATCAATTCCTCTCCAGTAAAAGTAATTTTGAAGATAAAGATACAAAAATGTTGTGGTTAGATGTAAGCTCTTTGAATGTACAACAAAGAATAAGAGAAATAAATTCTTTAGGTTAACAAAGGGCAATAAATTCCATGCCAGAATAAAGGGCTATGGATTGTATTCTATAATCATGATCTCAAACACATCTGTGAAGGTACAAGCAATATCTTTAGTGGTTGATGTGATATGATGTTGTGCAAGAAGTTGCATGTAAAGCTTTTACCAAAGTGTTATGCTCACGCCGGGGCGAGTATAATGGGCCCACTATTTCTTAACCAAGAGGGCCATGATGGCCCTTATATTGCTCACCTGGTTATGCAGGCTCTATTTTATTTGGGCTAGCTTAGGTGAGCTCTAGCTCAGGGTGAGCTAAAATGTCAAGTTATAAACTAAGTCATGATTAGTATAATATACGTTTATTTTGTTCACTGATTTAAAGTGTAAGTTAATAACAACATACTTTTATATACATTCAATCTTCCCTAATCTGTGGCTAGAAAGGTGTTGCCAAGGGAATCATTGACTGCTGACTCTTTATATCAAGATATAAACATGTGTGCAAGAACTTGGACTCTTTCTATTTTCAGGTACTACAAGTTAACATTGTTATATGTTAACAAGACTAGGGGATATAACTATGTTCAAAATCTTTTTGTTCATGTGGTGAAACAACTAGTGTTTTATATTTTGCAATTATTCACGATGCTTGTGGCGTGAAAGCATTTATGATTATATTTTTTATTATATTCTAATTATACTTAATTCTTAAACTTTCACTTTTATATTTTTTTCATATTAATACTTTCTCCAATGATATAAATTAAACAATGTCAACATAAAACATGTAAAATGGAACAAAATATCACAATCGGTGTAAAAACCATACACTCATTTATAACTAACTTTTCCAGCAACAAGCATAAATAAGTACATGTACTTCAAGTGACAGATGACTGACACAAAAAGCTGGGCGATTACCAATATAAATTTCTTTGGTTATAATTTGTTCTTGTATTCTCGGACATGTTTAGTTGTCGTTTTTTTTTATAATCAGGACTGCCGCGTAAGAAAAATTAAAAAAGTTATATATGAACTGAAAAATGATGTTTAAGTATCAAAATTTCCTAATTTAGTCAGCACAACAAGTAAACATATAATAAAGCACTATTATAGCAGACACACAAAAAATCAATAGAAAACATTCTATAGAGTTATAGTTATTTCATTGGTGATTTCAGTAGAAAAGTAAATTTATATCAACTACAAGTTTGCAAATGCTATATGAATCAGATTTTATGAATCTTGGCCCTGAAATCGCTCACCTGAATAAAAAAAACTCTCCTTGACAAGGAACAAGTAATATTGCAAACTATAGACAAAAGCAGATATAAAATCTAAACCTTAAACTGATATCACAAAGTTCATATTTGTAACTGAAATAGTGCAAGTGTAAAAACATTACTGGTTGCTATTGCTAACAAAAAAAAGAAACAGTTCCAAAAGATGTGTACATACAAGGAAAGTCAACTACTCCATGGATCTGGGCCAATTTTTCACCCCTGGGTTTTTATTTGAAAACACTTGGTAAACACCCACTTGAAAATGTTTCATTGCTAATATCTAAGCTCTAGCTCGTGACTTTTTTTTAAAGAAGAGATTTTAAGTTTTTTCTTTTGGTTTCCATGGCAACAAGAGTTCTTCTTGGAATTTAATTCTTAAGGTGATCACCAAAGAAACATTCCTGTGAAGTTTGGATTAAATTAGCTTTGCAGTTTATGAGGTGATGTTGTTTAAAGTAAAAGTTTACGAATGGATGCAAGATGAATTGTGACCACAAAAGCTGGCCATGTCATTTTGTGACAGGTGAGCTAAAAATCCATACACATTGTGTATGTAATAAATGGTCCACTTTATAAAAAAATTTCAATCTAAAAATAGCTGAATACATGTACAAACAACCACGCTTCATGTAGGTATAAAAAACATTAAACTAAACAAAATGTTATTCTTTTATATAGAGTCAATGTCAAGAATCCTTTAATAGCTCTTTCAGTTAAACAATTCAAATCAAACGGTACATATTATACTCTCCTATAAATGACCATAAGTCATATACCTAAAGAAAAATGCTAAAATTTGATCAAGACTAATTTTCTCCTATTAATGATCTTTCAAAAAGAGCTGTCGGTAGGACAGCAACGCTCGACTATTCTTAGTGCTTGATAGTAAAAAAAATGCTTGATACAGTTACCTCCTCCTGTGTACAGGTTGGGGTCATGATGGTGAACAAGTGTGCAAAGTTTCAAAGCCATATGTCAATGGACTTTGAAAATATTTGAACTATTACAAAAACTTTAACGTAAATTCTAAGTCGAAAAAGGGGCTTAATTCTGTCAAAATGCTTGATAGAGTTACCTCCTACTGTTTACAGATTGGGGTCATGATGTTGAACAAGTGTGCAAAGTTTCAAAGCCATATGTCAATGGACTTTGAAAATATTTGAACTATTACAAAAACTTTAACGTAAATTCTAAGTCGAAAAAGGGGCATAATTCTGTCAAAATGCTTGATAGAGTTACCTCCTCCTGTCTACAGGTTAGGGTCATGATGGTGAACAAGTGTGCAAAGTTTCAAAGCCATATGTCAATGGACTTTGAAAATATTTGAACTATTACAAAAACTTTAACATAAATTCTAAGTTGAAAAAGGGGCATAATTCTGTAAAAATGCTTGATAGAGTTACCTCCTCCTGTCTACAGGTTGGGGTCATGATGGTGAACAAGTGTGCAAAGTTTCAAAGCCATATGTCAATGGACTTTGAAAATATTTGAACTATTACAAAAACTTTAACGTAAATTCTAAGTCGAAAAAGGGGCATAATTCTATCAAAATGCTTGATAGAGTTACCTCCTCCTGTCTACAGGTTGGGGTCATGATGGTGAACAAGTGTGCAAAGTTTCAAAGCCATATGTCAATGGACTTTGAAAATATTTGAACTATTACAAAAACTTTAACATAAGTGGTTACGCCGACGCCGACGCTCGGGTGACTGCAATAGCTCTACTTATTCTTATCGAATAGTCGAGCTAAAAATTGTGCTAAAACACACAAACAAGTGCCAGGGAAAACCCTGGCTAATATTGAATTTGTTCAAGCTATGTAGTGGTACAAAAAAGCTAGTTTACATGTTTGGAATTAATAATGTGTCTTTTGTTCTACGAGAAAGTAACTCCTTTACATTTAGCTTCATGTGTCTTTCGTACAACATTGTGAGCAAAACCAAGCCCACAAGAAGAGCATGTATATGGAGTAGCCCCTGTGTGTTGCCGCATGTGAGCTTTGAGATTCCAATTTGTAGAAAACTCCTTCTTGCAATATTCACAAGAAAACATCTTAATCTTGAGATGAACACGTTCATGCCTCTGTAAAGTACAGAGTTTGACAAATGACTTTTCGCACATGCTACACTTAAACTGTCTGTCATTTGTATGACGATGCTTTATATGACTTGATAATGTATTTCTATACATGAATGAATCCCCACAGAAATCGCAAATGAACGGTCTTTCTCCTGTGTGGTTACGTATGTGATACTTCAAACTTGTTTTCTGACAAAACTTTTTATCACATAAATCACATTCGTATATAGGTTCTCCACATGAGGACCTCCTGTGATCATAAAGTACTTTTGAATGTGCAAAACTGCTTCCACACTTTTCACATATGCATTGTTTTTCTTCTTCACTACTGTGTATTCTGAAAATGTGGTCCCTTAAGTATGCTTTCTTTCTATACTTTTTATCACAAATGTGACAATGAAATCTGGTTTCACCAGTATGATTTGGAAGATGACTTTCTAATTCACCAATTGTTCTCATCTTCTTGTTGCAATACCCACATACAAGTAAAGATGGGTCATGTTTAGTCATATGTTTCCTCTTCTCTAACTCTGAGATCAGTGATAAATCACATGTTTCACATTTCAAGGGATAATTTTGATCATGCACCACTTCAATATGTGCCACAAGATTACATCTATACTTAAAATGCTTTTTGTCAGGACACTGTATGCATTCATGATATTCACTTGATGCTAAAGAGCAATTGTGTACAGCCAATTCATCTTGATCTTGACAAGGGAAGTAACACATTTCACACTGACAGGGATACACATGGTAATGTAAATGTTCTATATGAATTTCCCAAGCCTGTCTTGACCCTATTTGTTTATTACATACAGAACATGAAAACATCTTTCTCTCTGGTGTAACAGTGTCATCAAAAGGTTTATCACTATCATGGTCAGATTCCTGTTTCAATTGCTCAGTCTCCTCTGATGTGTTTTCTCCCTTATCAGCATCTAAAGTTTCTGTTTCCTTCAAAACAGTTTTATTTTTCTTACATGCTCTTTTCTTCACTGTTTTTTTCTTCTTTTTTCTCTGTTTATGTGAACCAGAAGCTTTTCTTTTTCTTACAGAAATAAGTTTGGTGTAGTCCACAGCTTCTTCCACCTTCACCAATTTCTCATCATATACCGCCTCCTCATTGCTTTCTTCTCCATCAAAATCATCAGAATACTGAGCTGACTGTAAGGTGTCTTTTTCTTCCTCATCTTGCAGCTTACCAAACTTCAAACTACATCTGGTATCTTCACTTTTATCATCATCAATAGTGTCTACATTTTCATCCTGATTACTTGCATGATCTTCTGTTTGTGTTGCTGTTGAAACTGTCTCAATATTCTCAGATTCTTCAACAAACTCTTGTTTGATATTGTTGATAAGTAATATGTTTTTTTCTGAGGTTTGACAGTCAGCATCTCTATTTTTGTGCTTGGGGTAAGCCGTTTTTAGTGCATTATTAAAGAAATAATTGCCACCTTCAATATGCTCAATTAAATGGAAGTGTAGGTCCAGTATAGTGGTGCCTGAAAGTAAAGAGAAGAAATGTTAAATGTTCATTAAATGTAATAATATTAAAGTATATTACCCGGTAGATGTTTTTGTTGTTATACTGTTGTGAGCAGTTTACCTAAAATATATTGAAAAGGGCTTAATTTTTCACTGCTAAAAAGGAAATAGTCAAATACATGTGGACTAAACACTAGCTTGTACTATTTACCAAGTACCATTACCGCAACGCATTCACCCCCAATGAAGTGCTTTTGTGCATGATATCTTACTCATCAAAGCCATATTTTTTTTTTAATTTGGTAATATGCGGCAAATTTCTGTTACCTAAACATGTTTTCATCATATTGCCAACTTATCTCATAATTTGTACAGAAGTGGTATTATTGAAAACCCCTTTTAAAAGCTTCATATAATGTTTGTATTTATGTCCATGTGCACAAGGACGAAAAACCCCAAGGTTTACAAGGTCACGTTTTGACAACACACAGATGAAAGTGATTTGTAAAATGAACACTTTAGACCATTAGATGTTGCATGCCAATAGATCTACCAACATTGTAAATTGAATGTCCTGGATATTTAATTTATTGTCAACTCAGTTTTAACAGAAACTTTGTGTTACACACGGACTTTGCTCATCATGATGCTAATTTTCTCAATTCAAAGGATCTCGGACCCATTCACAAAAGACTGGATAGTTGACAAAGGGGGTGTAAACTGGTCAACTGGGGTAATGACCCCCCCCCCCCCCTACGCAGTGTCTGTGTGCATTTCATCACGCGCATGGAAGCAACTTTTACCTTACTGGTCTGCAAGAATGAGTTTACAATATGCCCGAGTCTTATACTTACAAATAAACAAACATCCGCCACATTTGTATTTTATTTCTTCAGTAACTTTTCTTCCTTCTTCCATATTTGATGGGCTACAAATGAATATTTTATGAAAAGGGGAAGTAACTTTCCTTCGTTTTAAACTTCTATCATGCACTTTGACTGTAATGATCCTGAGTTCATTGTCCATGGACAACCTTTCGTGACAGGGTATTTATTCACAATAACATTTGGATTTAATTGAAATTGAGACATTTTGACCTAATCGAGATTTTATGTGGCAAACTATTTTCAGAGACATAGATAACAGATACATGAGATAGGCAACTTCCTAGCCAGTTAAGATATCAGGCGTGCTTGCTAAACTTAAAACTTGTAGCAAGTAAAACTTATTAACCAGATATCAAAATCAGTAAAATAATACATTTTCTGAAAGCTTATGCATTTGTCTATGGCTGCAGATAAAAAACATTTAAATAAATGATACATCAATTTTAAAGGTAACTACTTATTAATTGTTGTCTACATCTTTTGCTACTTTTTATTGAAAATTTGCTGTTTTTGAATTGTTTAATTACACGATCAGTACATATGTTAGCCTATGCGCCTATACTATTTTAGCAGAATTAGCAAATTGCTTTGCTACCTACTGTACTGTACTGTATATTAAACGCTAACGAGTGAGGTAACATTTTCGGATACTTAGAGAATGTTTCTCGTGCATGTGCGTTTGTGTGCGTGTAATCGTGTTGTACGTTGCATGACAGATGTTTATATAAGAGGGTTTAAGGTTTGTGTTTTATATTTTTTCCTTTCAAAATTCGCACCAACTGCTCTTCCAGTTTAATCTCGCGAATTTTGTCCAATTTTAACTTCCTTGTCATACAGAATTTACTTCGAATCTTAACTTATTGCTTAATCTTTCAAGACACGTTGGTTTGTTACTTAAATATCCCATTTATTATTTTAAAACGAAACTGTTTTTATTCACATCTTTCAAATGCTGTTATATTATTTTTATATTATTTATCATGTTTGACTTAATATTGTAATTATGTTATTTATATTTTTGAATCGTTTAAGGGAATCAAATGATCAACCTAACTACACAATGCGTTCAAATATTTGACACTTAAAATTATTGTATCGTATCTGTGATATTATATTTAAAATTAACAAATATTTGAAATAATAAAATGTTTGTTAAATATCTGTTGGTTGGTGGTTTAAACAGTCCAAAATGGTGTCAAAAATGTTATTAGCAAAGCGCAGTACGAAGTCTCCTAGCTGACGTTACACGGACAATGCACATGTCTAGGTACACCCAAATAGGTACACCAAGTTCTTATTTATGTATCCTACCCAATCTGGCTAAAATAGAGATCTGCGTATCATTAATTAGGAGCTGATTTTAATCAAATTGGTCACCTTTCATGTATTAATATTCTCTAAATGTGAACTTTTCCTGTTATATTCCAAAATTAACGATTTCATTTGTAAACAAAAAGCTTCAAATTGCCCATGATTTCAACTGATTTCATATGTGTGACTAATTATGAAGTTTCGGCCCGGGGCAAAAAATGCGGGATCCAAATAGGCCCGCTGAACACGAGCACGTGCAAAACCTTTATCCATGATGTCACTTTATATGGATATAATGCCCTCTTTTATCACAGTCACCAAAACAACTACATTGTAGATGAAAAGTGAAAGCATTTTTTTTATCATGGATCGCTTGATTTTATGCATATTTTGTACAAACACAGTTATATTGAAATTTAAAGAAGAAAACAAACAACCCATTTTTTTGAGAAAAGAAAACTAGGCATCAAAACAACTTTATAGTTCGCCTTAAGTAATTTTAACTTAAAGAAGAATATCTAATATGCTCTCTATTATCACAGTACTGCAGTGTTCTAAAGTTATCAGATTATGTAAAACACGCATTTTGAACAATTCTGCAAAATTGTCTCTCTAGAGATCGATAGATCTGTTAATGTAATGGAACGCATATTACTACTGTTTGACGTGATAATTCAATTACTACACTTTTACACAAATACTTTTTAGATTTTTCTCTATATGATGAAAATATTCTATTTTTCTGATTCACATCAGTCAAAATTTATTAAACATCTAAAAGTTTCAAGGATAATCTATCTACACAATCAAACTCAATTAAATCGATTAAATTCTGTACAGTATAAGTTAATACATTATCAAATACAACATCAACATGTAAAATATTATCACATGCGTTAAACATCAGTTTAGTAATATCACTTTTTGTAAGAATGGGCACGGTAGAAAAACGTGAAAACTTGTAACATAAGAATTACTTTGTGTCAAATGGATTAACTTAATTGTAATATTGTTGTTTATATCGTAAGACTCCTTTGAAAAGTACATAGATTTAGCTTCAGTTTTAAATAAAAAAAAAATGTCATTGCAGCACTGCTTGAAACGTGTTTTGTGTAGTTTTTACCCGTACCCAATCAGAAAGCGTTTGGTCACACAGATCTAAAAAATGGTGGTTTTAGTTTTAGATAATGGAGCCGGCTGCGCTAAAGTTGGGTATTCTACTGACACGGAGCCAAAGTATGATTATTTAACATCCTGACACTTTGAGAATTTATTGTTCTATTTTGTCTAGTCTGTGTTGCTTAATTGATGGTTAATTACTCTTTTTAAATAGGAATTAATTGGATAAAGTACGAAGTTTCGCTCTCTAACAACTTCATACCCGTGTAAAAGACTTTGAAGTGGCACATTTTCTTCTCTGAATTTGGAGAATATGTCATTGTTTAATTTTAGAAAATGGATGTTGGTCACTTTAAATAAATCAGGCTGACACTCAATTCAATGACATTACAGATGGTAATAATCTTTTCAGGATCCCTGCATGTTACAATGATAGATCTTCTTAAAATATTTTTCAGTTACTTGATGCAGGTCATAACCATAATTCTGTGCTTCTAGAGAAATGTCTGCTTCACAAAAATATTTCCCTGTTTTTGAAAAAAAAGTACAAAAAAATTCACATTTTCATTAGACTTGCAGCAGGAAAGTCATTTTAATCATTTAATGAGATTTCATAAAAACTGTTCTCTTCAAGCAACTTGCTGTCTAAGATTAGGTATGTCATGGTTTGTTCTGTTTTGTCCTGTTGAAAGTTTTCAATTCAACATTTCCTTGGCTGTGTATATATTGACCTTTTCGAAAACCTAGCTAAACACCATTTTCCGGTACGTTGCGGATTTAGCTCTGGGGAATTACACCAAATGAAGTACATAACACAGTTACATGATATTTCTATTTTACTATCAATATTTTACCGTTTAAGGTTAAAAAAATTGATGATTTTGAAAATTATCAATATTCCTTTAATATCTAATGCAAATTTTTGTAAAAAATAAATTGTTTATAATGAAAATCAATAAAATTTAAACAGACGTAGTGGAATCTCCCATAATAAATAAGGTTATTTTCTGCGTAAACTTTGTATTTACTTCATTTGTTGTATGGAATTATTCATACAATGATATTCAAATATTTTCTTATAAAGAAATAACTGTATAATTTCAATTTAATTTAAAAAAAAGGCCGAAAACAACGAGTTCGCTATTATACACTCCATTACGTGAATTCCCCAGAGCTATGTACTGAAAGTACCAGAAAATGGCGTTTAGCTAGGATTTCGAATTCATGAATGATTTCAGGAATTTACACCTCCTGGACGTTTCACCTTTGGTCTTTACACCTCCTGGACGATTCGGCCTTGGTCTTTACACTTCCTAGACGTTTCGGCTACTTCTTCTTTTTTATAAATAATATTGAATACTGTATGGATTAATTTCAGTAAACTTGTTTGACATACCTTAGTTGTTACACCTAAATTGGATACTATTCAGTGATAATTGAGATAACTCAATATCATATAAATTTACATGATAGACATTGAGAGAATATTTGTTTTTTAAAATTTATAATTAAGAAATTTTATATAAAAAATGACATTCTTGTTCAAATAAAATTTCTAAATATGTATCAATGTATGAAAAACAGATAAAAACAAAAAGATCAGATTTACTAAATTTTATTCAGAGTCAATTACTATATCTACAATGTATGCACTATACAATAACATAACATGAAAATAAACACTGTTATTTTCATCATATAATTTTATTTCCTATTTTATAAAAAATAATAAGAAAATAAAAATGGTATCATATTTTATTCTAAATATTCAACTGTCAATTTGTCATCTTCATTTTTTGTCTTTTTTATTCATTTTATTTATCAAATTTAAAAAGTGGAGGTGAAAAGACCAGGGTTTTGAGGGTGAAACGTCCAGGGGTGAAACATCCAGGGGGTGTAAAGTCCAAACACTGTATAGATCAGGACTTTACACCTCCTAGACGTTTCACCTTTGGTCTTTTTCCTAGGTAAAATCAGTACTAAAATTATTTCTATCTTCTTAATCTCAGCAGTGTGGTGGTGATCATTTGAATATTAATAACAAAATGTGCTATTGAAAATGCTAAGATTCGTTCACCATTTTGCATCTATGTTGTATTTCACTGAATTATTTAAAATGATTAACAACCCCTACATAATTATGAGAAATTCCGGTTATATATAATAATCCTAGGTAAAATCAGTACTAAAATTATTTCTATCTTCTTAATCTCAGCAGTTTGTGGTGATCATTTGAAGATAAATAACAACATGGGCTGCCATTTTTTTCTATACAGGGGGATGTAAAAGCCATCTGTTCCATAAGCATTCTGTACCAGAATTGGGATATTGTTATGCTGAATGGCAATAATTTTTCTTTCCTAATTAGTGAGCAGTTAAAGACATGACACATAACATAAAAATAAGTGACATTTAGAAAATAGAAATAATGTGTCCAACAATTTTTTAGGCCTTATCATTATGTCTATGTATGAATTAAGCTCTGCTCATAATGAATTGATGAACAAATTGCTTAGTAAATGTAGGAGACAAACTATGCAAGTCTGTTTAAAATAAACGTTTATTTCAGAATAATTCCAAATTGTGTCTCAAAAGCAAAGAATGTGAGGACAAGAATTTTTATTGGTGACCAAATAGATGAATGTAAAGATCTCTCAGGACTTTATTACTTACTTCCTTTCCAGAAGGTAAGGACGACCATATATACATATAGATATTGTAATGTGTCTTAAGTAATTGTGGTTGGTTTGTGTTTCATTTAAGATAAATTCTGAATTAAAACCTATCAATTATGCATGAAAACTTTTTTCTGTAAATAAATGAGTTGGTACCTTATAATCTGACTTTGCATAAAACATTAAATTTCTCATCTTACAAATTCATTTTTAAGTGAGAAGTATACATTAATTAATCATCTATTCATAAATGTATAACAATTATAATAGCTATTGTCCTTGAATTATGTCCCTGAAGTTAAACTTATAGAGATGTTTACAGAAACAATGTAGTGCATTTCCATCAGAATCAACCTCAACTTCTCAGCCCTTTCTGTCGTACTTTGGATAAGTTCTAACATAAAACTTCTCTGAAGTGTTAACAATTTAATGGAAATAATCTTATTCAGAACCATTATTTTATTTTTTACAGGGATATATGGTAAACTGGGAGGTTGAGAAACAGGTGTGGGATTATATGTTTGGTAAAGAAAAAATGAAAGTAAGTTGTCATGTTAAATATTTTTTGTTCACTTGTTTTCATAACATAAGCAAAATTGCTTATAAACTCAATTCATCTGCTGGAATTCTATTTTTTTAAGACAGATATTTAATTTTTTTATATTTTTGAAGAATTTTTATTTGTACTCCACACAAATGATAATACATGTATATGAATTTTTGATTTTATATCAAACTATATAGATTATATCACAAAAAGTTAACTATAAATTTTTGAATTGATAGGACATTACTATTTTTTTTTTCAGGTTGATTTTAATGATACAAGCATTATTCTAACAGAGCCTTACTTTAATTTCACATCAATACAAGAAGGAATGAATGAAGTTTTATTTGAAGAATATGGATTTAAGTCTGCACTGAGAACTAACCGTAAGTGGAATCTTGTTACGTCATACAATATTTCTTGTGAGACACATTTCATAATTCTGTCGTTAATAAAAAGAGTTTAAGAAATCATTAAGTCCAGAAATCAGTGTTAAGAATCTACTTTTTTTTTACTCTTTGTGGAACTGCTGGTGGCGGACACATATTTTGTAAGGTAGAAGCCTACCCAAAGTAATTAATGTCATTAAATGTTCAAATTAAATTCAGGTATTATATTTTTCTTTTAGTTAGAATTCTGATCTTATTTAATACTTTAACACTTTTTTTGCAGCATCTTATCTAAGCCAGTATAAATTAAGTCATGATAACCCAGACAAGAAACTGTGCTCTCTTGTACTAGATACTGGATATTCATTCTCACATATTATACCATATTGTATGGGGAAAAAATTGAAAGATTCCATTGTAAGGTAAGTTGTGTAACATATGAAAATAAGGTCAAAAATTTAATTAATTTAAGTCATAAATCAATAACTGCACTTTTATAAAGCCCCAAAGGGTGGCATATAGTTTTTGAATGGTCTGTCTTTCCCTTTTATTTTCTGAACCGTAATTTTGCATAAATATGTAGCACATATTTTTGCACGACCCAGGTTTGAAAGGCAAAGGTTAAGGTCACACTTTGCCTTAGAATATTTTTTCATAGAAGTTGATTGATGATGGTGCCCAGACAACGTTTCTGTCTGTCCTGGATGGATTTTAAAATAAAATAACTTGGCATAAATGTGTTTGGCATTATGTCAAGATGACACTTGCATGTCCAAAGTCAAAATATGATTGTGAATACAAATGTAGATGGTCCAGAATTTTTCATTCATTGATGGATTTTGAAATAGTTATGTATACATGTTTGGCACATGCAGCTGTTTATGCGAAACCTGGCAGCTCAAAGTTCAAGGTCAGACTTAACTTGAAAGGATATTATTCATTAAAGTGTATCAATGTTTGTGTTCAGTCATCAGAACTGTCATTCATGAATAGATTTTAAAATTAATTTTCACAAATGAATGTGTTGCATCTTTTGTTTTTACAAACACATCTTACTCTGCCATGGTGTACTTGTATTGTTTGTTAATATGTTTCATTACTTGTATTGAGCTTAGGCATAGTAAAATTAATGATTCAAAATAGCAAAAAGTTATTATTTGATCTCATTGAAATGCACAGTTTAGCAATCGGGGAAATTCGAAGAATTATTTCATTGAAATGGTAAGAGCAAGTTAAAAAAATGTATTAAAATGGCCACATTAATTTTACAAGGCTATTTTAGATTTATATGATGAAAAGATATCCATTGTGGTTTCTTCCTGTTGTGGGGGCTTGTTAAATTGTTTTCTGTGGTAATTTAGTATTCAATTATTTATGTTAACTTCATGTAATACATGTATAATATTTAAGTGTACTATGATAATTGATTCATACATAATGTAATTTATTTTGTTTGGATTTTATTGTTTGTATAATAACTTAGGATTGTGATTTTGAAATACATGTATTCTATGCTAAAATAAAGTCTATATTTATTTGTCTTGTTCTAAAGATCTAATTCTACAGGAATATATCTATTTAATTTATTCATCCCTTTTCTTTCAGAATAAACATAGGTGGTAAAGTATTAACAAATCATCTTAAGGAAGTAATTTCATACAGACAATTAATGGTGATGGATGAAACATACGTTATCAACCAACTGAAGGAAGATGTTTGCTATGTATCTACTCAGTATGACACAGATATGAAAACTTCCAGGTAAAGATATAGAAATTAATTTACAAGTTTGGTAATGGGAAGTGTTGATTCTGTTATGACCTGATACAATTTTAACATTGCTGGAAAACAATCTTCATTGATTTACTAAAAGAAATTATGAACTTCAGTATTATAAGCATAATTATATTAACTCAACAGTACATGAACACTTATATGTTGTATATCATGTGTATGTGATTTGTTGGCAAAGGAAAGAGCCTAGAGCACTACAGAAAAAACATACAATAATAAGCCTTAAAAACTGGAGATTTAGACTTTACCTTTAAAATAATGTTATTAGACCCTTAATTATTTCGGAGCAGCTTATATTTGTGTATTATTTATATAAAAATTTACAGGAAAAAGGGCGCTGAAAATACTGTAATGCGAGACTATGTGTTACCTGATTACACTCATATAAAACGAGGATATGTTAGACCTCAAGAAGAAACCACAGGTCGTGCACAGGGAAATGAACAAGTATGAATCTAAATAGATTACTTACGTCTTTTTATGCCCCCACCATATAATGGCTAGGGTATATAGTGTTACCCTGTTCCGTCATTCCATCCTTCCGTAATTCTGTCATTCCGTCATCATCAGTTTCCATTCATTATCTTAGTAACGATTGCACACATTCAACTCAAACTTGACAAATGGATATGTCATGAGAAAATACAGGTCAAGTTGGAATTTTGTCATGGTTCGATGATTTTTGGCAGAGTTATGCCCCTTTTACTTTGAAAATAATATGAAATTTTCAGTTTCCGTCCATTATCTCCCCAACGGTATTACACATTCAACTCAAACTTGACAAATGGATATGTCATGAGAAAATACAGGTCAAGTTCGAATTTGGTCATGGTTCTATGATTTTTTGCAGAGTTATGCCCCTTTTACTTTGAAAATAATATGAAATTTTCAGTTTCCGTTCATTATCTCCTAAACGGTTTTACACATTCAACTCAAACTTGACATGGATATGTCAAAGGAATGCTCAGGTCAAGTTTAAATTTGGTCATGGTTCGATGATTTTTGCCAGAGTTATGCCCCTTTTACTTTGAAAATAATATGAAATTTTTAGTTTCCATTCATTATCTTCTAAACGGTATTACACATTCAACTCAAACTTGACATAGGGATATGTCAAAGGAATGCGCAGGTCAAGTTCGTTTAAACGCTTTTCACTCAAATCGGGATATAAAAAGCATAAAAATACGATTACCAATTTATTTCATAGTATATTTCTTAACTATCTTTGCATATTTTTCTGTTTTAAGTGCCCCAGCTCATTCATGTAAGAAATTCAAATGATCTGTTTTTAGGCATTTAAACCTCAGTGGAGTCCCTTTAAAAGAATGCGCAGGCCAAGTTTGATTTGGGTCATGGTTCAATGATTTTTGGCAGAGTAATGCCCCTTTCACTTTGAAAAAAATATGAAATTTTCAGTTTCTGTTCATTATCTCCCCAACTGTGTTACATATTCAACTCAAATTTTACATATGGATATGTCAAAGGAATGCGCAGGTCAAGTTCGAATTTGGTCATGGTTCGATGATTTTTGGCAGAGTTATGCCCCATTAACTTTGAAAAAAAGGAAATTTTCTGTTCACATTCATTATCTCCCCAACAGTTGTACATATTCAACAACAAATTAAAGATATGGATATGTCATAAGAATGCATTGGTCAAGTTCGAATTTGGTCATGGTTTGATGATAGCTGACAGAGTTATCCCTCTTGAACTTTGAAAAAAAATCAGAAATTTTAAGTTTCCGTTCATTATCTCCCCAATGGTTGTACACATTCAACTCAAATTTGACATATAGATACATCTTAGGAATAAGCAGTTCAAGTTTGAATTTTGTTGTGGTTCAATGATTTTGGACAAAGTTATCTTTCTTGAATGTTGGAAAAATTTTGAATTTTCAGTTTCAGCACTCATACTTTTGTGTAAATGTATGTATCCATTATTTTGGCTACAAATATGCATCATATGCAATTTACAAAAAGTTAACACTGAATAGTTTCAGTGCCTTGAACTTTGTATAAAAATGGTTTGTGTTCACATTGAAGAGTTTCAAGGGCTTTGAACTAAAAATAAAAAAAAAAAAATTTGTGCAAACAAATTTGGAACTAAATATTATAACATCTGAAATTTTGGTTGCATGCGGGGGCATCCGTGGCATAATGACACATTTCTAGTTTGAAATATATGTTTATGTAATAACTTGTTAGTTATAACAATTATACTCCTTGTTTTAATTGGATTGCTACTATAATTGTTTTGGTTATGATATTACCAATATTTTTTTTACCAATTGATGATAATATTGCTTTCAACTTCTTACAGGAAGTAGCTATAATATTAATCAAAGTAAAACAATGTTTTACTATTTCCCAGATTATAAGGATGAACAATGAAAGATTTGCAGTGCCAGAGTTATTGTTCCATCCATGTGATGTTGGTGTACAAGAAATGGGCATTGCAGAGGCATTAATACATTCTGTTAGTTCCACAAAACCTGAAGGTAACTATTGCTGTAATGATATCATATGTCTAAATCCGATTTTAAGGATGTTCTTACTTTATTTATTTATTTATTTTTTATGCCTCCACAAAGTGGGAGCATATAGCTTTGCACTTGTCCGTCCGTACGTCTGTCCGTACGTCCCGAAATCTTGTGAACGCAACTCCTCTTAAACCGGATGGCAGATTTTGCTTAAACTTACAGGGATGAACAACCTTAATGTGTAGATGGTAGTGAAGGAAGGAATTTTTGCTGCAACCAAATTTAACAGAATTATGGCCCTTTGTTGATTTTTTCACTATATACTATGTAGAAATTTTGTGAACGCAACTCCTCTTAAACCGGATGGCAGATTTTGCTTAAACTTCCAGGGATGAACAACCTTTATGTGTAGATGGTAGTAAAGGAAGGAATTTTTGCTGCGACCAAATTTAACAGAATTATGGCTCTTTGTTGATTTTTAGTTTTCAACTTGTGGCACATGTAGTCCGAAAAAATATTTGACCTAGAGTCTTAAGATTGACAGAACAGTGGCATGTGGGGGCATCTGTGTCCTATGGACACATTTCTAGTTTGCATGATGATTACTAAGCTTTTCATCACCTGTTGCTGATTTAAATTATAATTTGTGTTGTATGCAGTTTCGTATTGTTGAACAGTTTACTTTGGGACTTGTTCAGAATGGAAGAACTCATGTCTGATTACTGCCATTTTGAGCAAGACTAAATACTGTAACAAACTTTGTTGTAAATCATGTGCATGATTATCAAGTGTAAATGCAGTAAAAAGCATTAACAGTGACAACTGAAATGATAAAGACATGCTCTGAATAGAATAAAAGGTAAGTGCTGAAATTAACAGAAACAATTACTAATTACTCAATGGTGAAAAAAATCCAAACAATCCTGGATATATTTATGCTGAAAACCATTGAAATATCCTGATGCTTAAAGGCACATTATGCCTCAGAAATGCTATCCATTTTTTGTTTCCCAAAAACCTTTATTTTTGAAATAATAATGCAGTTTGCAAAAAAATATTCATTTGCCATTTAAATGAACTACTAAGTATCTTTTGCTATTTATGCTCTGTTGGCAATTGGTATAATTGTAATAAATTAGTATATTGTATGGAAGTCAAAATACTACTTTGTTTACATTTTGCTACCTTATTGACACAATATTGCACTTTCATCGCTACTTTCTTTAGTTTTTAAACATTTTATCAATTATGCTCTAAAGCCATTGTTAAAATATTACTAAATACATGTTTTACCTTTTCAAAGATTTAAAAAAATTATGGGTTTCTCAGGCATAATGTGCCTACTCTAAAACTTTGATATATTTCAATGCTCTATTGTGCTAAAAATCATGGAAATATTTCAATGTTTATTTACAGAGATGCATCCACATCTGTATAGAAATATTTTAACAACAGGAGGAAATTGTCTCATACCTGGTTTTCAGGAAAGATTGTAAGTGGTTGCACACATTTTTATACGTAATAAGTTGTTATTTTCTTATATACCCATCCAAGAGTAAATGGTGAGTGCAGAAATAAGTCAGAATAACTTAATTTTGCTATAATTGTGTTCATTTTTAGCTCGACTATACAAAGTATATGGAGAGCTGTCCTACTCGCCCCGGCGTCGGCATTCACGTCCGTGTCCAGATTTCAGATTAAAGTTTTGTAAAATACTTTTATCCCTCACCGAAAGGCGGCGGGGGATATAGAAATAGTCTCCGTCCGTCCTTCCGTCCGACATTTTTGTCCGGAGCATATCTCAAAAAGTATTTGAGGTATCAACTTGAAACTTCATAGGTGGATAGATCTCATTGAGGAGGAGTGCAGTGCACAAGAATGATAACTCTACCCTGCATAATTTTTGAGTTATTGCCCTTTGTTATTTTTCAAACTTAATTTTTGTCCAGAGCATAACACAAAAAGCTTATGAGATATCAACATGAAACTTCATCGGTGGATAGATATCACTCAGGAGATGTGCAGTGCACAAGAATGATAACTCTACCTTTCATAATTTTTGAGTTATTGCCCTTTGTTATTTTTCATACTTAATTTTTTCCTGAGTGACGCATAACTCGAAAAGTCTTTGAGATGTCAACATGAAACTTCATAGGTGGATTGATCTTATTGAGGAGGAATGCTGAGCACAAGAAAGATAACCCTCCCCATTATAATTTTTGAGTTATTGCCCTTTGTTATTTTTCATACTTTTTGTCCGGAGCATATCTCAAAAAGTGTTTGAGTTATCAACTTGAAATTTCATAGGTGGATAGATCATATTGAGGAGGAGTGCAGTGCATAAGAATGATAACTCTACCCTGCATACTTTTTCAGTTATTGCCCTTTGTTATTTTTCATACCTAATTTTTCACCTGAGTGGAGCATAACTCAAAAAGTGTTTGAGATATCAACATGAAATGTCATAGGTGGATAGATCTTATTGAGGAGGAATGTTGTGCGCAAGAATGATAACTCTTCCCTATACAATTTTTGAGTTATTGCCCTTTTTTTTTTCATGCTATTTTGTCCAGAGCTTATCTCAAAAAGTATTTGAGGTATCAACTTTAAACTTCAAAGGTGGATGGATCTCATTGAGGAGAAGTGCAGTGCTTAAGAATGATAACTCTACCCTGCATTATTTTTGAGTTATTGCCCTTTGTTATTTTTAGCTCACCTGTCACAAAGTGACAGGGTGAGCTTTTGTGATCGCTTTTCGTCCGGCGTCCGTCCGTCGTCCGTCCGTCCGTCCGGCGTCCGTCCGTAAACTTTTGCTTTAAATGACATCTCCTCATAAACCACGAGCCAATTTCATCCAAACTTCACAGGAATGTTCCTTTGGTGGTCACCTTTAAAAAGGTTCAAAGAATTTAATTCCATGCAGAACTCTGGTTGCCAAGGAAACCAAAAGTAAAAACTTAAAAAATCTTCTTTTAAAAAACCCAAAGAGCTAGAGCTTAAATATTTGGGATGAAGCATCTTCTAGTTAGTGCCTACAAAGTTTAATTTAAAAAAAGCCCTGGGGGGTCAAAATTGGCCCCGCCCGGGGGGGTCATTGATTTTCCCTATATGCATATAGTAAAAACTTAAAAAAATCTTCTTTTAAAGAACCATAAAGAGCTAGAGCTTAGATATTTGGCATGAAAACATCTTCTAGTGAAATGTCTATCAAGTTTGTTCAAATAATAAAGCCCTGGGATCAAAATTGGCCCCCCCCCAGGGGGTCATTCATTTTCCCTATATGCATATAGTAAAAACTTAAAAAAATCTTCTTTTAAAGAACCAAAGAGCTAGAGCTAAGATATTAAGCATGAAACATCTTCTAGTGAGTGTCTACCAAGTTTGTTCAAATAAAAGCCCTGGGGTCAAAATTGGCCCCGCCCCGGGGGTCATTGATTTTCCCTATATGCATATAGTAAAAACTTAAAAAATCTTCTTTTTAAAGAACCATAAGAGCTAGAGCTTAGATATTTGGCATGAAATGTCTTCTAGTGAATGTCTACCAAGTTTGCTCAAATAAAAGCCCTGGGGTCAAAATTGACCCCGCCCCAGGGGTCATAGATTTTCCCTATATGCATATAGTAAAAACTTAAAAAATCTTCTTTTAAAGAACTCAAAGAGCTAGAGCTAAGATATTTAGCATGAAAACATCTTCTAATGGGTGTCTACCAAGTATGTTCAAATAAAAGCCCTGGGGTCAAAACTGGCCCCGCCCGGGGGGGCATTGATTTTCCTTATATGTGTATATCAAAAACTTAAAAATCTTCTTTGAAAAAACCCAAATAGCTAGAGTTTAGATATTCAGCATGAAACATCTTTAAGTAAATATCTACAAAGTTTGTTCAAATAAAAGCCCGGGTGTCAAAACTGGCCCTGCCCCAGGGGTGTGTCATTGTTTTTTAACTATATGTGTATAGTAAAAACTTAAAAAATCTTCTTTTAAAGAACCGTATGAGCTAGAGCTTAGATGTTTAGCATGAAACATCTTCTTATGGGTGTCTAACAAGTCTGTTCAAATAAACAAATAAAAGCCCTTGGATAAAAATTGGCCCGGGGGTGGGGGGGGGGTGGGGGGGCTATATACAGGTGAGCGACCTCAGGGCCATCATGGCCCTCTTGTTCAAAATTAATTTTTGTCCAGAGCATAACTCAAAAAGCCTTTGAGATATCAAAATGAAACTTCATAGGTGCATAGATCTCTGACTCAGGAGGTGTGCACTGCACAAGAATGATAACTCTACCTTTTATAATTTTTTGAGTTATTGCCCTTTGTTCTTTTTCATACTTTAATTTTTTCTCAAAAAGTATTTGAGGTATCAACTTGAAACTTCATAGGTGGATAGATTTTTTACTGAGGAGGGATGCAGCAACACAATAATGATAACCTACCCTGCATTATTTTTCAGTAATTGCCCTTTGTTATTTTCAGCCATCAGTATTCACATAGGTTTCAAATCTGTAATCACTATAGCCATCCGTTTTCATTACCAAAAGACCTCTTAAAATAGAATTATTCCGCTCTAAATAGAATTATTCCGCTCTACTACATATACATTCTTCCAATGAGCAAACACATTCGGCGGGGGATGGCCATGTTGACATGGCTCTTGTTCACTATAAATTTGTCATTTCTTAAGGTATCAACTTCAAACTCCTTATCATCAACCACATCTTAAGTGACAAGGTTCATAACTCTAGCACCAATATTTTCATATTTATCTCCCCTTGAACTTAAAAAATACTGTTTTTTACTGTTACTTCTTTATTTCTTAAGGGATAAACTTCATACTTCAAATATATGTTTCTTATCATCAACCGTATCTTATGTGACAAGGTTCATAACTCTAGAACCAATATTTTCATATTTATCTCCCCTTGAACTTAAAATTTTCCTTAAAAAATACTATTTTTTGCTGTTACTTCTTTATTTCTTAAGGGATAAACTTCATATTTCAAATATATGTACCTTATCATCAACCACATGTTATGTGACAAGGTTCATACCTCTAGCACCAATATTTTCATATTTATCTCCCCTTGAACTTAGAATTTTCCTTAAAAAATATTATTTTTTACTGCTACTTATTTATTTTTTAAGGATTACCTTTATACTTCAAATATATGTACCTTATCATTAACCACATGTTATGTGATAAGGTTCATAACTCTAGCACCAATATTGCACAAATTATCTCCCCATAAACTTAGATTATTTTACTTGAAAAATGTTATTTTTTACTATAACTTTTTTAGTTTTTAAGATATCTACCTCAAACTTCAAATACTTATTCCTTATCATCAATTACATTTTATGTTTTGACAAGGTTCATAACTCTTGAAGCAATTTTTACAGATTGATCTCTCTTTAAACTTAGGATTTTCTTTAAAAAATATTATAACTTACTTATAACTTATTTACTTTTTAAGGAATCTACTTCAAACTTCAAATATTATATTTCTTATCATAACACACATGTTGTGTGACAAGGTTCATAACTCTTACTGTGACTATTTCCAGAATTATTTCCCTTGATCTTGGAATTTATGTTAACAATGTTATTTTTTTACTATAACTTAATACATAATTATACATAATTCATTTTTTTTCATTCATAGTTTTGCCTTCCTTACTGCATCCAGTATTTTATTAGTCGAGCTTTGCTGTCTTCTGTGACAGCTCTTGTATCTTTCACTATGCAAAATTAATCAATAATTCAAATGACCAACAGAAATTTCTGTTCGTACCGTTGAATTAATTTTTCATGAACAATTATTGGTCAATCACTGTTATGATAATCAATCTTTTGAAATATATTACTAATTCAAAGTTTTCCCATTTAAAAACTTAAATATAAACTAAGAGGACTGTTTCACTTTTTATGCCCCAGAAGGGTGGCATATTAAAATCGAACTGTCCATCTGTCAGTTCGTCAGTCCGTCCCGCTCTATACAGGTCCTGTCCGCTCTGAAACTTCAGTATGCATGAAAGGATTTTAATTTTCCTTTTATATATGAAATAACCATAGATGTATGGTGTGTCGCGAACAAGACTCAGGTTTCTAAGACTAAGGTCAAGGTCACTGTGGGGGTTCAAACGTCATTTTTTATGTTAAATAAATATAGAAGGTGGTAGTCATGTCCTCTCTGAAACTTCAGTATGCATGGAAGGATTTTAATTTTTCTTTCATATAATATGTAACCGTAGATGTATGGTGTGTCACGATCAAGACTCGGGTTTCTATCTCTAAGGTCAAGGTCACTGTGGGGGTTAAAACTTTGTCATTTTTAGCTCGACTATTCGCAGAATAATCGAGCTAATGCAGTCACCCATTTGTCGGCGTCGGCGTCGGCCTCCCTGTGGTTAAGTTTTTGTATGTAAGCTGGTATCTCCATAACTACTGAAGGGAATGGATTGAAACTTCACACACTTGTTCTCTGTGATTATCTAAGATG